ACTCACTCCCCCCTTCCGCCCCACACTTGAAGGAAAAAGTAAAGCAAAAGGCTCAAGAACTGAGGTAAGGATAGGGAGGGATGACTTATCCATTAGGCTGTGGGCAAAAGACAGACTTACTAGGGGAAGTAAAAAAGAACAGAAATTTAATACAGACACTAACAACAACAGTACTTAACAGTCACTGTGAGAAGCATTACCACACCTTGTAAACACCTTCCCCCATCCCTTCCTTCTTCCCATGCTCAGCTTTACTCCTGATATCTCTACCTCCTTCCTCCCCAGTGGGCAAGAAATGAGAGATACAGTCAGTCCTGCCACTTCTTCCACCTCATCGAGGGAGGACACAACTTCTGGGATTCTCCCACTGCTCCAGTGCAGCTTCCCCCTCACAGGAGACAGTCCTCTGCAATCTCTCTCCCACATGGGTTCCTCCCATGGGCTGCAGTGTTTCCCTAGCTGCTCTGGCATGGGTCATCCCCACATGTTGCAGCCCTCCCAGCATGGAACTACTACTATAGCAAGGCCTCCTTCCCACAGAGTCCCAGCCTCCTTTGGGAGCAGTCACCAGCTCCAGTGTGCAGTCCTCCACAGGCTGCAAGTTGGCCTCTGCTCCACCATGGACCTCCATTGGTGGCAGGGGGGCAGCACTACTGTCTCACCACAGGATACAGGGGAATCTCTGCTCTGGTGCACTTCTTTCACTTCTCCTGCTTTCTTCCACTGACCTTAGTGTTCACACAGACATTCTCCTCACAACTCCAACTCCTCCTCCCAGGTTTCCCTTCTTAAAGACATTATTGCAGAGGTGCAGCTAATTGGCCTGGCCTTGGCACAAAGGTGGGTCCAACTTGGAGCTGGGGAACTTCAAGAAGCTTCTCACAGGGGGCCACCACCGTAGCCTCCTCCCCTGCTACCAGAAACACCTGCCACTCACTCAAACCAGGACAGACATGACAACTTTTGAGGGAGAACTAGAAACTTCTATGTTTCTCATATAGGGTTTTTTTTTGCTGAATGTTGGCCTTTCTTACCTTAATAAAGAGAAAGATATTTTTAGTGCAGGGAAGTAGAGCTCTGCAGTGGCTATTATTATTGTTATTATAGTTATTAATATTTCTTTAAGTGTATATATATAAAATACATTATCTTATTATTATTAATAATAAACTTCTGGTTTATTATTAATACCTGATGGCTGAAATTTAATAATGTTTCAAGCTGACTTGGTCCCTTTAAATTGTAAGACAATCTTGTTGTTTGGGGTTTTTTAAGTACTTTACAGACTTTTGTTATCTAATTTTCCTTTTGAGTATAAAAAGTCTTGTATCTGTTGGAATATTTCTGTTGGCATCACTCAGACTAATGTTAGTGAAATTTCTATTTCTGGTAGCTTTTCTTTGAACTGTGCCTTCAAACTATTGTTTAGAAATAAAACTTTAATCTTTCAAAATAAATGCTAAATGCCATTTTTCTTCACTTGGAAGAATTATAACTATGTTCTGAGAGTCTGACCTGGTTCAGAAAAGTTGCTGTGATATGCATAGTATTTTGAAAGACAGGTCACAGCATGTTTCCAGCATATGTTGCTCTTATGGACCAAATAGTCCAGCTTTCAATTTACAGGTTTTCAATGAAGGGTCTGATTGTCTAAATTCTCTGAAGTTTTGTGTAGAATGATAAATTACTATAGAAATTAATTTTTCTTTTCTAAGGGTAAAGATATACTGTCCTTAACAAATCAGTGGGATAGTGGCAATGATAGGAATCTTAATACTTACTATCTGTAATAAGCATCCTCTTACTCCTCTAGATTCTTGAAATGCTGTGTGATCTAAACCAGCTGTTGCTGGTTCTCTGTCTAAGATTGGTGACTAAATAAAAGTTAAAATGCAGTCTGAAGCTGACTACTTGGCATTCTCTTCCTGCTCATGAGAAGATTATTCTTTCATAAGGAGAGATTTACTCTATCTGTCTGGCCAATCAGTGGAATCTGCTAGCTCACACTGAATTTCAGAATGTCAACTCTGTCTTGGGAAATCAACTGAGCCATCTCTATTACAATGTTCAGTTCAGTATCAGAATTGTATTCTATCCCAAATTTGTAATGCTTGTGACTCTCAACATGCTTACATTTTTAATACTCAAGTTCCTATTTCCTCCCTCTTCTTCACTACACGACTTTTTTTTTTTCCACAATTCTTTAATGTTCTGTTAGTTAGCACACAATCTCTCTTACATACTAGTGAAGTACTTAATGGGTATCACTTCCTGTGAGCTATGAGATGTTCTAAAGGTGCCACAGGTATGTGGGTGTAAATTGGATACAAGTATTTGCAGTTAACTTTGTTTTGTGGTGTGTATATTACTTTCTAGTTAAGAATCTCTTTTTTTTTTTAAAGCAGGAATTAGGACCTGTGTGCTGTCCGAAGCAGAGTTACTCAAATTCTCAAGCATGACCTGATGTCTTTAGAGTTAGAACTATATAAGAGATTTGTACTTTTTTTTTTCTTTTTTTTTTCTTTTTTTTTTCTTTTTTTTTTTTTTTTTTTTTTAGTACAGGAGTGTTTTAGTATTCAGAATAAGGACTGAACTAAGATTTCAGGAGTGGAAATGAGAGCTGTGCTTCAGTGTATCTGGTAAGCATGATCTGATACTTGCATGTTCCAAAGCAATATGGTGTCTGCAATTTAAACACTTCTTCATCCCTTGATAAGATTGGAGGTAGATATGAAATCAGAACATTGAGCTTGTTCACTGCTATTTGGAAATGCCTTCTGAGCAATATTTAACATGTGAAAATGCACTTTGGAGGAAATGAGTGGATCTTGTCAAGCAGAAAAGTTTTTGGACCTTTTAAATTAAAGGTTTAAGTTTCAAATTTCTAAGTATAAAAAACCATGATCCTGATTCTACAGTGCTTTAGATTTTTCATACTTCCTGATTTTGTTTAAAGTGATACAACTTTTGTTTTGTCTCATCCAATTTTTTTGACTAGTAAAATAAGTTTTAAGCTCTTCTCTAGTCACTTCTATTTATTTGCCTAGTAATATGGAACAATTGGAAGCTTGCACCATATTCTCTTTGAGACAGTCACATTTTCAAAACTTTCTACTTTGGAGTCTGTGCTAAATGGTAAACAGTTATCTATTAGAAAAATGTTCTGGTCTTTGATCAGTATTTTGGCTAAAGTTTGGCAGTTTTGGGCCTCTCACTACAAAAAGGACATTGAATGACTCAAGTGTGTCCAGAGAAGGGCTACAAAGCTGGTCAACGGTCTGGAACACAGGTCGTACGGGGAGCAGCTAAGGGAACTGGGGGTGTTTAGTCTGGAGAAGAGGAGGCTGAGGGGAGACCTCATCACCCTCTACAGCTCCCTGAAAGGAGGGTGCAGAGAGCTGGGGATGAGCCTCTTTAGCCTAGTAGAAAGTGACAGGACAAGAGGGAATGGCCTCAAGTTGCACCAGGGAAAGTTTAGGCTAGATATTAGGAAGCATTTCTTTCCAGAAGGGGTTGTTAGGCTTTGAAATGGGCTGCCCAGGGAGGTGGTGGAGTCTCCATCCCTGGAGGTGTTTAAGAGTTGGGTCGACTTAGTGCTGAGGGATCTGGTGTAGTTGGGAACTGTCAGAGCTAAGTTAACAGTTGCACTAGATGATCTTCAAGGTCCTTTCCAACCTAGTTGATTCTGTGATTCTGTGACTTGCAGGCCTCTTTTATATCTATTTCAAGCTATTGTAAAGGTTGAAACAAAGAGGCTTTTGCTGATCCTTCCTCCAAAACCTGCAGACAATAAAACATCTTTTTCTCTCCCTCCAGCAAAAGTCTTCCCTGAATGTACTTTGGACACTATGAAAGCACTATGTAAATGTCTTCTTTTGAAAAACATTTTCCAATGACTTAAGTGCTCTTTGATTTCATGGAGATAGACTTCTGTTGTCTATAAACAAAACTTCAGTCTTTTCTTTAGTAAATCCTAGGAATCCTTTCCCCTTCAAGACAAAGGATGAAAAGGGAAGAGAACTAGGTAACTGCTGACTGGCTAGTGGAAATTACACTGTCAGTCGTCTGTAGTTGTTGAAGTAAACAAGTGATACTGTTTGAGGGTTGCAGCTGTACTTACCTTCCAGAGACTCAAATAAAAGCTTGGTGCTTAATATTCTTCCTGTGTAGTATATTCTAAATTGTAGGTTCATAATTGTAAGTCAACTCTCCTCTAGCATTCCTTCTTACTGCTTACAGAAGGGGATCATCCCACCTTACTGACAACACAAACATCTGGAAAATGTGATGCAAGTGTTTATTCTAGAGCTAATGCAGATTTCTTGTTTTGTAAAACACATGTTGTGTGAGCCAAAACAGGCAGGCTGAAGGAACAACCACAGACAAAATGCAAGGAGTAAATTTATTCTCATTACCTTGTGACCCCAGGCCATCTCCACAGCAGCATCAAGGCAGAGGCATGCGAGTGGGGACCTAGGCACCATGGAGTGTAGTCCTTGCTAGCCAGAAAAGAGAAGAAAAAAATATCTTGAACCTGCTGCTTTGGCCTGTGTATCAGGGATTTTTCAAAGGCATAGTTTTCCACTGTGCTTTGATCTTGCCAACAGCAGGGCAGGAACCTCAAGCATGTTCAATACAATGCCTCTGAGTCTATCACAGGCCTGTGTTATCTAAATGTGGATGTGCTATCTGTCAAGCACACAAAACTAAACAATTAGTATGATACATGTGGGTTTTTTGACACCCCAGCTGCAAATCACTTGAGCATGTTTATAGTCCTCTTTGTCAATCTTGTGTTATATTCCCACACATATTAAGTGAAAGTGATACGCCTAGTCTTCAGTTGTGCTTTTCTAATGGGCTAGATCCTCTAAAAGGAATCAGTGTTATTGGGCCAAGGGCAACTTCTGATCTTCTGGATTTAGAATCCAAGAAGAACAGATTGATATTAAGTTCATTCTCTTCTTTAAACTGATCTGTGTATTTGTCTTTCTACGTTCCCTACAGCTCCAGAGATAGATGTCAGAGCATGTCTGGTTGCTCTAACTACATAAGAGTATCGTGGAGAATGCCTGAAGGTGACAGCAGAATTGATCACTTTTACTGGAGTATAGAAAAAACAACTTTGAACATCTTCCTCGAGTAAGAGATTAACATAGTTGGGAACTGAGAGACTCTATTGAAACTACTGAGATGTACTGTCAGGTAAAGGTTTTTTGTACTCCATACCCAAGAATATTGATATGACTCTTTATGCTTGAAAGTTTTGCCATATACCCATTTTCCTGTATGTAACAAAGCTTCCGTTGTTTCACATTAGTCTTGGGATGCTTTGTACAATAATGGCTCTGCCTTTTATTTTGACTTTCAAGTTTCGTAATAAAAAAAAAATCATGTGTTAAGTGAAGTGAGACTGATATTTAAGCTTATTTTTTGCAGATTAAGATAAATGGAAGACAGCTATGTGGAACAGATATTAGTCTTGTAAAAATTAAAAGTCAGTGGTTTTCCAATTATTAAGCCTAGCATAAAGGACACAGCCAGCATAAAGATGAACCAATAACCAAATTGTATTTGATACAAAAGGGTCAGTCCATGGGTGAGCGCTGGGGGTACAAACAAATCAGTCAGATTATACATAATTGACATCAATCCCACTGACCCCAACAACACCACCACATGACCAACAATGGGTGGAACAAATGGTGAAATGCAGTCTCCCATAGAAAGGGCAGGAGACAACCGAGTCAACAAGCCAAATACATAAGACCAAGGAAGCCACACACTGAATCTCCACACAGCCCACGTTTACAAAAGCCAGACCTGACTGGAGCCCAGTCCCAGGGAGGCAGGAGGTCTTTCCCCAACAGGAAACTCCACAAAGTGCATCCACCTCACAGACAGACACTGCCCCTTCCTGCAAGTGGTCCCAGCTTTTATCCCTAAGTGGGACACCTGACCTCTGTTTACTTAATGCAGACACCTGGGGCTCATTTACCCAATGGCTCTCTGTGCAAGTCCAGCTGCACCCTGGAGGGAAGCCTAAAGGCAAACTCACCCCACCTTTGTGGAGGGCTGTGGGAATCACCCATATGTCAACCTTAATATGGGGCTTGGGGTTGAAACCCCAGCATTTCAGTCAGTAATTAACATCAGTTCAAGTTTTCTAAACATTCCCTTTTTAGGTCTGAAGTTTGATTCAAACTACTTCAACTTTAGAGTATGAGCTTGCAACAAAGCTGCAACAGGGGATTACTCTGATCCCATGACTCTAGAAATCAAAGGTAAAATATGAAAGACTCTAACCTTAGAGGTAGTAAAAACCCTGCACTCACTGTTTTACCATAAAGGCTGGCAGAGGAATTCTCTAAGACTCATTTTGGAGTTTTAGAAGGCAGACATTCTTTATTGCAGTGATGGGCGCACACACTAATAGCTTCACCAAGGTGAGCATGCCTCCCTATCTATCAGTGGCAGCTAATATACAGTGGGATTATACATATTAGTAATTTTTCTGATAAATGAATTACATATGTATTAGATTTCCTGGAACTAATTGCAATATCTGCATCCTAATTACACATGTGTTTTCCTGCTGGGTGGTGGTCTCGAGGGGTCCCTGGTGGTCATTGGTAGTCTTCCCTCACTGTGTCTGCTGATTGACCTTAGTGCTCATGCATGCTCACAAAGGTTTGTTTAGGAGGTGGTGTGCAGCTGTGTTGTGTCTTGAGCTGGTTTGTTGTAATTTGTCCCAACCTTGTTCCTGTTATCTTCAAGAATGGGCCCCAACTGTCTTAATTATTACTGTCTTATCTTCAAACCTCTTTTTTCTTCACAAAATCACTAACTTTCAGCTGCACGTTCCAGAAACTACATTGACATTGACCTACTTCATTCTCAAAAAAAATATTTAGCAAGACAAAAAGCAAGATGAAGAGGGAAAAAAAAAATGTTAGCAAGATGTTTTGGCTTACAACTGTTCTGCCTTCCTATATGAACTTGTATGTTCAGTCTGCTTCTGAATGAGCACTGCTGAAAACTGTGTCCTAAGTGAAAATGAAAACAACCATTTCTGTAAAGGATTAAGAAGCTTATTGACACAAAGCTGGCCTTTTAGCATTCAGACACTGAAAATGAGATAGTGATGGTAACTTTCTCCAACAGAGCTTGATATTGGTTGTTTTGAACTGTGATTGACAGTGTTATGTGCTGCTACATCATTGTGATGGTTTGACTTTGGCTAAATGCCAGGTATCCACCAAGTCACTCTATCACTTCCCCCCCTCCCCTCCTTTTCCCTTTGATTTCTCAACAGGGCAAAGAGGGGAAAGAAAATAAGACAGACCAACCCTTGTGGGTAAAATAAAAGCAGTTTTAATATAAGCAAAGTGAAGCAAAGATCCACACATGGAAGCAAAAGCAAACAGAGTTATTCTCTCCTTCCCATGGACAGGTGCTGTCGGGCCTTCTCAGGAAGCAGGTTTGGGTTCGGGTCACCTGTCCTGGCTGTGTCCCCTCCCAAGATCTTGCCCACCCCGTCCCACTGGGGGAAATGTCAGAAAGAGCCTTGGTGCTGTGTAAGCACTGCTCAGCAGTAGCCACAACACCAGGGTGCTGCCAACACCCTGCCAGCTCCCAGCATAAAACACAGCCCATGAGGGCTGCTGTAGGGGAAAACCAATTCCGGCTCAGCCAGACCCAGTACAGAGATGCAAGAGAAGATGGACATTGCAGCTGAGCACTGATAGGACTCTTAGGGCATCTAAATGGTGTAGCTGGCTGGTTATTGGTACTTGGCATGTGGCAGGTAATGGCTTTCTGGAAAAAGAAGATGCTGAGAAGGACTTTTTTTACTTTGTAGCTGTAGGTCCTAACCACTGTCAATATTCAAAAAACAGGCAGCTCCAAATTGCTGAATTTATTAATTCATTGTGTTAGAGACCGGTTGGTCTGAAGATAGCTTCCTAACATTGTTTTGTAAATAAATTAGAAGAAAAATTTCTTGAAAGTGATATTTTGGGGCAGAACACAAATCTTAACTATCATGATAATGATCCTAAGGCTTTAATTGTAGCCAGGTTTGTAGTGTAAAGGGCAAAATTATATGGACTGGATAATTAAAATATGTATTTTGTTACTTGTGTAATTTACCTCATAAAAACAAAGCTATATGCAATTTAAACGAGTTGATGGGCATTCTGGTAACTTCTCTAAAACAATTTTGATACTCTTAAGCAACAGTCATTGTCAGATATATAGTATCCATTTACATTCCTTATTCCAGTGCCAGAAAAAATAATTCTGATTTTGATTGTTTGGACAGTTATCATTCTTCCCATATTACTTTTGTTATTTCTGGGTGGACATTTAGTTCACTTTCTTTAATAATCAACCCACAGAAACTCAGTATCCTTGTCTACATGCTTACCTTACTGTATTTCAGATTTGTGTACTGTTGAGCTCTAAACTCTTAATCTCATGTATACTTTCTTTCAGAATCAGACTCTAACATCTGATGATGTTAGGACAGTTACAGAATAATCTGTAAAAAAACATCTTTAGGGAACTTGGCATGTTGCATTAGTTTTGTTTTCTTGTATGACAGACTTGGCTGCAACAAATCCCAAGCCTCTTCTAGTTGCATGCATCCTCTACTGTTCTTGTATCTGCAGCTGACTTCACAGTTCAACTCTGCCTGTATGTGCTATCCTGTCAATTTAGTATTCTCCAAGATGCAGTCCTTATTAGTCATAAACACCTTGTTGGAGAATCAGTGCTGCAGAGCATGGAAAATAAGCACACATTTAAAAATCATTCATGATTTTAAGAATCTAGGGAGTCGGCTGTAACCATCAGAAGGTACTAGCTGAATTTAATTGCTGATACTGCAGCATTATAAAGATGAAAAAATGTACTTTGATGTAACCTATGTACTGAAGGTAGGTAGCTGGGCTTTATTTAAAGGGCATCAGACTAAAAAGCTGATGTTTCTATTAAGCTGAACAGTGCTCTGATACAATTTTGCTATTGGTTCTATAATTTTCTATGATTAGGCACTGTTGGGAGAGAGCATTATACCGTTTAACTGGTTTGCATTTTGCTTTGACGAGCATTGTCAAGTGTTCAGTTTGGACCCTACTTCAGCTCATGCAAATTTGAAAGTTGAAGGTACCTGTGTTGAATGGGATCCTACTGGAGGCAGAGGCCAAGAAAAAATGAAAGGGGAGGAAAATAAAATCAGGTAAGAACTCTGTTTTGTAAATGTTTATGTTGTCTGGTATGTCTCATCTGGCAGGTAAGGGAAGAGGACAGAGGGAAATTAAAGCACTTGAGTACAGTGGAACATCAAAGAATTTTCATTCAGAAATCTTTCCCTGGAAGAAATTTTAATTTTTTATTTCCCTTCTGCTGCCACACAGCTGCAGAGGCTTTTTATGGAAGCTATTAAAAATATGTCTTAACCATTAAAAAGGATTTAATTTTTTAAAAAAATATGTTTGTTAGGGTATCATTCAAGATTCTGAAATAACTTGTAGATGTGGTGGGTTGGCCTTGGCTAGCCACCAAGTGCCCACCAAGATGCTCTATTGCTTCCCCTCCTCAACTGGACAGTGGGAGAGAAAATATGATGAAAGACTCACGGGTCAACATAAGGACAGGGAGATCACTCTGCAATTACTGTCACAGGTAAACAGATGAGTTGAGGAAACGTAAATTAATTTATTGCCCATCAAAAGTCAGAGTAGGATAATGAGAAATAAGAACAAATCTTAAAATACCTTTACCCCACCCCTCCTTTCTTACCAAGCTCCATTTCACTTTCTCACCAAGCTCCATTGTCTCTGCTGCTCCTTTCTCCTCACAGGCTTCCTGTGCTCCAGTGTGGAGTCCCACCAAAGGGTCCTTCATGAACTGCTTCAATATGGGCCCTTCCCAGACCCTTCAGCCCTTCACAGACTGCTCCAGTGTGGGCTGCAGGGTGGCTATATCCTCACTTGTCTCTCCCAACTGCTTTTGCACAGCAGTTTTTACCCTTTCTTAATCACCATCACTGATTGGCTTAGCTTTGGCTGGCAGTGGTGCATTGTGGAACTGGCTAGCACTGGCCCTGTCTGACATCAGGGCAGCTTCTGGCATCTTCTCACAGAAACCAACCCTGCAGCCCCCCTGCTACCAAAACCTTGCCACATAAACCCAATACAGTAGATGAGGTAAAAGTCAGCAAGCAACCAGTGTAATTCTGTTTAGTAGTGCTGCAGTTCAGTACTGGTGAATAGACAGTTTTCTACTGTAAGAAATAGGAAAAACTGGCTTTGACCTTATTTAAAAGGGAAGGTTAAATTGGTACTATAGGTTTTGTTTGAATTTGTTGTCTCATAATGTTCACTGATGAGGAAAAGGTACTAATAAAATAAACCAGATAGCAAAATATAATGGATAAGGAACATAACTTACAAAAGTGGCAGCCCTGAATATATTTAGCAACAGTTTTCATCTAGGAAAAAGTACTTAAGTAACTTCAGCAGAATTCTTGGTAGATTGATGAATGTTAGGCACTTAGATGTATGTTATTTGGAATCACTGAATAAATATGGTTGGAAGAACATCACTAGATCACTCTGCTCTGTCTGGGCCTTGAATGTATCTGCCATGATTTGAACTCAGCTGGCTGCCAAAACCACACTGCCAGTCACTTGCCCTTTTACCTACCTGGGAAAACAGAGGGGGGATAAAAAGAAAAAAAAAAGCTTCATAGGTTGAAATAAAACACAGTTTAGGGATTGTAATGTAGCAGAACAATAATGGAAAATCCAAACGGGTAACACACAATGCGGTCGCTCACTACCGCCAACTGATACCCACCCCACCCCCGACAGTTATCCCAACAGAATGTAGATCCTGCCACACCAACCAGAAGCAGAGAGAAAACCCACCTTCTTTAGCGTCACATGATATGGAACACTCCAGTGGCCAATCCGGACCCGGCACTCTGGCTGTGCCCCCGCCCAGCTGAAAGAAAGTTAACTCCATCCTGGCTGAAATCTGAGTAGGGTGCTCTGGCTCAAGAAAATTAACTCTATCCTAGCCAAAACCAGGCACGGATGAAGACTGTGTTAACTTGCTGGGCCTTTACTCCAAACCACTTTCATAGGAGGGGAGGAATATCCTGCTATCTGACTGGAATTTCCTGTGGTGCAATGAGTCCCAAGTGCCTGTCAGCTATTGGTGTGCACCCCTCTGAGCCAAGCCTGGCTTGATCTTCTCTGTACCTCCCTGTTACGTCATTAAGGAGAGCAATTGGCTCCTCTCTTCCTGAGGCTGAGCAAACCCATTGTCATTCTGTGCTCCAGTCTCAATTGCGTTGTTGGCCCTCCACTGCACTTGCTCTGGTATGTCAGTGTGTAATCCTGAGGAGCTCAGACCTGGACGCAGGACGTCAGGCTCAGTCTGACAAGTGCCAAATCAAGAGAGAACAGCTATTTGCCTTGGCATCCTTGTTGCTGTCTTGCTGCTACAGCACAGGATACGGTTGGTGACCTCTGCTACAAGGGCACACCACAGTGTTGTCATCTCCTGTGATCCACCAGCTGCTTTTCTGCAGAATTGCTCTTCACTCATCTATCCCCCAGTCTGTCCTATTGTGTGTTCTTTCATCTGGAGAACACTGCTCTCTCATGTTCTTTCTCTTCATTCATGTTAATTCTTCTTTCATATTCATTCTCTTCATTGTTCTCTCATCTGAAGAACACTATCCACAGTTGTGAGCCTGATTTTCAACTGGTTCTGTACACAGCTTATGACTTACTACCCCGTCTGTATCTCTTGAAGTAGGAATGGATCAAAAGCCTTGCTAAATCAAGGTGTGAACAGTGTCCATTGGTTTTGGCTTGTCCACAGAACTGGCTACTTCTTCCTCAGAGGCAATCAATTGACTTTCAACATGGGCTTTTTGGTATAAAGATCACTGCTTGGGATAATTTATGAAAAATACCTTCCCTATAGGCATATACTGCCAGAAGCATGGTAGAGCAGATTTTAATGGCATCTTAAGAATGTAGGTAATTTACTGGAGTAATAGAACAGTTATTTAATGACTATTTATTTCTGTTGACAGTGACCAGAATCCTCTGCTGAAGAGCAAGAAAAGGTAATAATATACCTCTTATTCCTAAGATCTAGCACCTAGTTTTTTGGGGAGTGTGTGCTACATTCCTTTGCTTGATGTAGTGAGAAATATATCTAATAGCCTTTATCAGTAACATTACACATATGCTTTTAAAAATTCTTTTGAACTTTAATTTGGATTCATAGAGATTATACATATATTTTCCACTGACTGGAAAACAGTCTTCCTTGAAGGATGTCTTAGTGTGCAGGAGACCTGATTTGCAATGGTTGAAGAGCATTGTGTATTTTAGTGTTGATACAAAGATCCCTGTTATTTACAGATACATTGATGCTTACTTAACCTTCTGGCACATGATGGCAGACTAGATTTACAAATGCAGTGAAGAGCTCCCTTCTGAGAACTTTAAAATATTTTTTTTAGTTCTTATTTTGGAATCTGAAAACCTTTTTGCTCTCAACTTGTGCTATAGCTGTCAGTAGACTTCAGAGAAAAATAAATTAGTATTTTTGCACTTTCAGAGAGGATGAGGTTTAGCCTGGTGGCATGTGTAAAAAAGCTTCATGGCAGTTCTACTTGCAGAATCAATTGTTCAAATGAGAGAGCCTCTTTTTTCATATGTAAAGACAGCTAAAATATCCTCCTACTCCTTGGGCAAAAGGGAATACATATTGCTGAGAATATTTTTTATTTGCTGAAATGGATAAGAAAACTGAGACTAACTGCAGTGCTGTATGCAACAACCCTAATCATAAGACAGGAATATCTGACCACTGAATAGTGGAAGAAATGCATCAGTTACAGTGCTAGCTAATGAAGATTGTGCTGCACTGCAAAATGGGAATCAAACTGACTTTCTGCTATAAAATTTCCCACCTTTTCCTATTGGAAGGGAGATTTGAGCACTGGAGAAAAAAAACCCAAAAACTTTTTTCAAAGTGTAATGCCAAATGTTTGATATCATTGCCTGAACTGTTAAAGGCTGTTAGATTTTGAGTGGACAAAGCACATGCAGCAGCCACTTACAGAAGACTTGAACAAAATAAATGATACTGAGGACCTTTTAATGTATTCCTAACTTGGAGAATATACTAGCAAAGCACCTGCATTTTTCTTATGGAAATTCTCTAAATGGCCAGATTGCTTTCTGCAAAAATACTGAATCTAACAGAAAAATTTCAGCAGCTTTTTTTGGAAGCGTGAGTGAATGATCTCTGATGTGTTTGAACTAGGATGGAATCTGCAAAGAGAGATGGATTCCCCTCAAATTATGCTTTTTGACTTTGCAATCACTTGTTGCATTTTGCTTTGGTAAGTAAACTACAGCTTTCTCCATGTTAACAAAATTCAAAAGCAGCTGTGGTGCACCTGTACAATATGCACTTACCCCCTTCACGTAACTATTGCAAGCAATTTAGAAGCTTAGCTGTCTTCTGATCAGTACTGGCACACTTATATGCTAAATAGTGATGCTAAAGTAGACAACCTTTTCATTAATGATTTCTTGTAGACCTCTGTAACTGGAATAAAACAAATTTAGTCATGAAGATGAACCAGAGATTCTAGCATAATTATGTATGACAGCTTATACCACTTTGCTTTTGATTACCATTTATTTTAATGAAGGTATTGGGCAAAAGGGACATATTCTACCCCTTTATGAAGTAGTATTTGAGAACAATTTCAGAAAACTTGAAATCAGTGTTGAATGGATTGGAAACAAACTGAACTTCACTGTGGACATTTAAATAGCAATTAGCTTTACTAAATTGTAGCTGAAGGAAAAGTGGGAGAGAAAACTTTCTTTTGTATGTGATAACTCTTTTAAGGCTAATGTGTGATAGACTACTGAGAATGAGGATTGGAAAATGACTATGTACGTGTGTATTCCAGAGACATTTGTACTTTTCAAATTTTTATTTTGTCAGTGAAATTAAACTGTGAGCTTTATAGCTATTTCTGAGAAGTTAAAATTCTTTGCTACTGATTGCTTTTAAAATAACCAGACGTGACTCCCTGGCTACTGAGGTTTAATATTCACTGTAATTTGCAAATAGCCCTCATTTTGTTTAATGCTTAAATTCTTGAGAATCATTTTGAGGGCATCACCAAGGTAAAATAAAATGTATGAAAACCTCCTTAGGTTTTCAATTTATTTTATGCAACTGATTGTTCATTAGAATATTCTCCAGAGAGAAGTGTGTCTTCATTTATTTTGCCATTGCTTCCTGAGAATGCTTTTGAAAATATATTTAGAAAATTTTAAGTCTTTCTTGATTGGGATTAGACTCTTAAAATTTATAGTTACTCTTAAGGAGTTGCTGTGTGCTTCTCAGCACAATGTGTTTACACAATTTTCTTTTCTGTAGTCTTTGATAGAGTTAGTATTTTCAAATAATCACCACTCTTCAGTATACTTCTGGTGTTTGATTTTTTTCGGGGGGGGGAAACATTGTGATGCATGCATTAAACTCAGAAAGTCTCACTTCATCTTTTTTAATATAAACTGTGTTTAGATTTGACACTCTTGGGTTTTGTATCATTTTCAGTGTGTGCATTTTGAAATAAAATCACAGTTTGATTCCTTTCATTCATTATGCTTTTTCCTGGGATTTCAACCATTGCTTGTACAAGGCAAATGTGCTGAAAAACTTACCTTTAACACAACTGATATTATTTTCCCATTCACTGATGTTTAAATTCCGGTGAAAATTAGGCATTTTGGCATTGAATATCAGCGGTGTATTCATACTTCTCTGAATGTTGTATCTGATCTACCAGACTTACCAGAAATTTTCTGCAGAAGACCAGAAATATGAATTCTCTAAGGTTCTGTGTAGTACAGGTGAAACTGTTTTATACAGGCATTCATTCAAACCATGTGCCACACATGTGCTGCTTCTCCTCTTTCATTCTCACTACCTCTGAACTTGTTTGTTGCAATATCTTGTATTTTTTTCTGGTTATCTCTTCTCTCTCAGTTCTCGTGGGTGCATACTGTTAGAGGTATTAAGTGACTGAGCTAACGTGTCATTTCAATAGCTTATGTATGTTTATTGCACCCTAGCCCCTAGCTGACTTGGGAAAACTTGTCTGAGTGTGCATTTCTGTACTTGTGTCCAAATCTCAAACAGTTCATTTCTTAGGAGTGGTGCAGTCTCCAGAGAAGACATCTCTCAGCACAAAATTCTCACTGAGGGACAGGAGATCTTTTATTGATGAATCATACAGTGTTGAGTAAGGTGAACTTCTTACTTCTGTTAGAGGTGCAATGCTGTGGAAGGGCAGATTTAAGTAAGAATTTGAGGGAAAATTTGTGATTGTTCAAGGCTGTGTACTTGATGCTGTCTTTCTGTTGCATTTAAGGTGATGAATTAATTGGTAAGAGATTAATCCCCTTGCATTCTAGCCAGTCCTCAGAGATTAAAGGGGCTAGGGGTGGCTGGACTTATCTCTTAATAGGTATGCCAATTATGGCTGTAACTATAGGCCTGACACCAGATGTGCAAACTGCCCATATGTTGTAGGTCCGGTTGCATTCAAGGGAAGCACTCAGGTTGATGAAGAGTACAGTTTATTCTTATATAACATCTACAGATTCTTTGAGATTGCCTACAATAAATGCACAAACTGCAGGTTGGCTATATAGCATTACACACACAAAACCCCAATTGCAATCACACACACTTAATTCCCAGGTAATCACTTGGTGTAGCCAAGGGCCCAAATGTTACCAAAAGGCATCCCTTCTTGGGGGTGAGGGAGCGAGGAGCACAAACCCATCCATCTGTCCCTCCAATTTGGTATCAGATTATCATCCCTCTGAGTTAGATATAAACTCAGGGTAGTATTTATCTAAGTATGTATGTATGTGTGAGTGGGTGGGACTGTGCTCAAGCCATTGTTTCTTGAGTAACAACACAACACATTCCTTGGTGCAAGGTGTGTGCTGTTTTTACGGGAAAAGAGGAAGAATGAGAGACAAGGTCTGCAGAGTACTGCAAAACAGTCCTTGAGAAAAGGGGAAGAGCAGGAGATAAATCTGAATAGTCGTGTCAAATGTTCCTTGAGAAAAGTGGAAGAACTGGATCCTGCAGCCTCCATCCCTCTTTGCATTCCTCCTTGGTGCCACGACAACACAAATCACTGGATCTCCATCCTGTCCTGTGTTTGTTCTGGGCACCATGTGTTAAGGAAATGTGTGGGTTTTTTGCAGATTTTTCACTGTTTTGCTCTTCCCACACTTCCAACACTTCCTTCACAGTGGTGGTTTTGCCTATGTAACACCAGAATTTCATGCTGCAGCAAATGTCCTTGTTTTGCTGATTAAGGATACCAATTAAACTTGGACACCAGAGAGAAAATAGCAGGTGTATTTTACTGGTGATAACCAATGTAGCAGTGTAATACAGAAAACAGGCAGTAAGAAAAGGCAGAATAGTGCACTTAAAGCAGCAAACAGGAAAATACAGGGTAATGCATCAAATCATTGCTACCTGAGAGAGAGAGTAGTGATGAAGAATGATCCCTCACCCCTTGTACATGTTCCCATCACCCAGACCCGCAGAGCCTGTCCCGGCAAGGGAGAAATCCTACGGGGTGCGTCCACCCATGGGTGAGGCTTCCAAAGTCGCTGTGAGCGCGTCCAGCCTTATATACCAGAGATCAACAGGCCAGAATAGCTGGCACTTTTGTTTTGAGTGGAAAATTTCTGGTTTCATTCTCCTGTTGGATTCCACCCAAAGCCTGGCCAGGGCTCGGTGAGGGGAGACCAAGGGAGTTTCTAACAAGGCCAGATACGTGGGTTCTCAGCCTGGAACAAGGCTGAACATGGGAAGCTGGATACATTCTTGTGCAAGGTTTAATTCTTTCCGGGATGAGAGAGCACGTTGCCGTTGCCCCTCCCCTACCCGCGCCGGTCGGGCTGGAAGTTAGACACAGACCCCGGCTAAAATAACAAGAAATTTAATACAACAGAGTGATAGAACAATCTGAACAACAGTATCAATGGTAACAACAATAGACAGCAATAACAGTGAACAAGACAAAAGATATACAGAGAAATACCGCTCAATGATCACGGAGCAAACCCGCCACGTGTATGGCAAAAACCAAAACCAGAAGCGAAAGTAAAAAGGTTCCGCCTCTGGACCTGACGTCAGCATGGTATGAATAACCCGGCTGGAGATCCCTTCCCCCTCTCTCTCTGCTGGGGAAAACTTTACTCTGTAGTAAAGTTTTAGTAAAGTAGTAGTAGTAGTAGTAAAGTAGTAACTTTGGCTGAACCAGGACAATTCTCTCAGCATTTCGTCCTCACTACTGATTATATTCTAGGCCACATCTCTCACTAGCGAGCTTACATACTTTGTTAATGATTCCAGACTAAGTTAGCAGCTTCGGCTTGGGGCCTGTTGTTCAGGCTTCAGTACTTCAATGCTTTAGCACTTTTTACATCAGCACAAGTGGGTTGTTATAACTTAGTACAATACATATTAGCACAATGGTTTCAGTTATAAAATATACAGGATTCATCTATATGTCAACTCGGGCTTGGGCCGGTTGTCCAAGACTCAGCACTTCAGTCCTCAAGTGTGTTGAAGCTCTTTATTACAAAGCTCTTAGTGACTAACATTCACTGCTATTAAATGTGAGTTACTGTTAAGTGTATCTTGTCTCAATGAGTGTAAGTAAAAACTCAGTATTCTATTTTATATTTATGTTCTATTTTCCTATACATTAATTATTTTTTTCCTTATAGCTCAGATGTTTGCATTTTGAAGACTTCACTTTAAAATAAAACAGAAGGCATCACTGTTGCCTATAAGTAAGCAAGCATTGTTGTAGCAACTACATATATTTTTCTGGTAGGAGACCCTGCTGTTTGAAGTGGACAGCTTTACTGTGAAGTGAGAGCCCAGGACTGCAAAAGCTATCACGTGGGAGTAACATATGGAAAACTGGGGAAATTTGATCATCTAGGAAAGACTAAGTCAAGCTGGTGCATCTGTATCAATAACTGGCTACAAACCACATTATCAGCAAAACATAATGATAAAACCAAGATTCTAGGTATCCCTGCTCCAGACAGAATAGAAGCATAGTGTGATTCTGATCAAGGTAAATTACAGTCTTATGAGATTTAACTAAAAGCTTAGTTAGCTATCTGTTTCAAGTTGAAGCAGTACAAGGCTAAAATATTATATTACTTCCAGACTGATAGAGTCCTTTATGAAAATAAGGCCTAGAGCTTGTAGTATCAAATGACCTGGGTTCAACTATGTGACAGAGCTATTGAGAATTTTTCAGTCATGTGGATTGTATTTAGTGTGTTCTGGAAGCCTCTCCCTTAAAAGAATCAATTTTACTAAAAGTTAAACACCAGTGGCATGTAAACATGTATTTCAACTTGTTTTCTGCCTCTCTTAAGTCACCTCACATTTTATAATGCAGACTTAAAGCAACTGTTACACACATTCAGAGCAAAGTTTACCCAACCATTATTACCAGGCTTCATGGTCAGTATCTATAAAATTTTGTTCCTGTTCTAGCATTGCATTCAGCTTACTGAAGACTTAATTACTAGTAATTTTTAAAAATGAACTGCTTTCTTTTTTATTTCATTTGCCACTTATAATAGAACTCCAATATGAGAACTCTGCACCTGGATGACTCAGTAAATTAATTAAATTTTTGTAGGGTAAATTAATAGCACATTTCAGAAGCTGACAAGGCTGCTACAATAACTGACCTGAACTAATGCAGATAGTAGACCAAGATGCTGTGAGCTGTCAGAGCTGTCATGAGACAGAGCAAACCAGATGCTTCCTTAAAAGATACAAGACCAGCTTTTGAATCTTTAAAATCTCAGTGGGATTTTCTTGCCAGTCATTTCAATGGTCCACTTTTTCATGGCTCTAAACCAATAAGTGAAAACCTGCTGCAATTCTAAAGAGTCAAACCTTGCAGAAAATGCACAGGAAAAGGATTTGTTACTCCGTATTGGTTTTCCTCTAATGATTTAAGTAATTTCCTTAAGTAACTAAATTTGAAGACCTCAACTGTGTTATAAGGTGCCATCAAGTGCATCATACTTTGGGAGCAGAGTATAGGTCTGGGAAAACTTAGGAATCTGGAGGAAGCTATTCATACTAACAACTTAGCTGCCTAGGCACTGATTTCTAGCCTCTTGTGATTTGGCCCATAGCAAACACAGCCTGGTAATTATAATGTGTGATTAGACCAATTAATAAAGTTGCTCTTACTTTGGACATGGAGTTGGAATGGAAAAGTAGTAACTTGCTTAGCCAGCCTTATGTCTAGCATTGCCAAACTCCTGATTTTTCACTTGTATCAGACAGAATTCCTACCACAATTTCTAGTGTTGGCTAGATGTACTGACAACAGGAGTCTAGATTTTTTTAATAGATATTTATTTGGAGGTGACTAAGCAAGTTGCCTTACTGATCTTTTTCAATATATGGGAAACAGAATAGCTTCAGAACTGTTGGGGTATATGTGTAAGTCATCCCTCTAGCATTTCTAAGGCTGACCCATTAAGTTAGTTCCTAAGGCATCTGAGGAAACATCTGCTTATATCTCATCTCAGACAGCCTCTAGTACTTAGTGACAGCAGTATTACAGACATCATTTGGGTTAGCCTCAATAGTTAAAATAAAAATGACAAGTTACTTAATTACAACTCTCAAATGTCATCAGAAACATGAAGATACATTCTTTTATGTAACACAGTTGTAGAACAGAGGTCACTGGCACCTCTGATTCTGAAGCTTCTCAAGACTTTATTTTCTTCTGCTATGTTTACACTGACCTAATTCTGTCATGTCATACTAAAACTAAGCTCTGCTTTTAAATGCTGGAGCATAGTGAGAGTATTGCTTTTCACTGTCATTCTAAGTACTTGCTGCTAGAACATCAGGCTTCAAAGAACTTTTCCTAATAGGAGCAAGTCTTTTAGTATTAGATCTCTCTTGGTTATAAACTTAAGCACAGTTATGTGTAGCATCTTAGACTTTATGGTCATAAAAATTAGCTTCCTAGTGTGATCAGAGTGTTTTACAGAGTGCTGTGACCAGAAAGCAAGAGAGAAGACAAATGCAGCTGCAGGTTATGTTTTGTGTTAGTTCCACTGTGGGACAGGAGAAGAGAGATGTAGATGCTTCATAATGCTCAGGATACTGATGATTTTTTTTTTTTTTTTTTTCCCCCCTCCCTTAGGTATGATGTGGTAGGCTTACAGGAATACTGGATTGCAGGTGCCAAGCTCTGTGGAAATGGCCCAGAAAAGTGAAAATTGAGTGCTTCAACAAGGAGTCTGAAGAGTATTGCTTAATAATATTCATTAAACACATCTATTGCTGTTTTTTTTCTTCTATGTAGCTGCTACTCACAGAAGCTTGTGAGCATTGGATTACTCTGCGTTTGCCATGTACTGCTGTTTAAGTCCTCAGTACTGATAGTGCAAAAGTTTGTGGCTAAAGTGTTAGGAACCTACTGTGACTCCAGACAGAAATGTCAGACAGAAAATGAATTTCTTGCCTATTTGAAAAATAAGTGGAGAAATCAAGAGCTGTAACTATGCACTTTTCTAATATTGTATTTATGGACTTTAATAATAATTCTGTTACTAATTTTCTATTAAAAGTAAAATAAAAGCCATGTTCTTAGTTCTCCTAACATGAATTACTCGATTACATACTTTATTATTACTGGACTTCCCATTAAAACTTCTAATATCATACATGAATTTCAAAAGAATACTGGTTTTCTAGCCTAGCCTGGCAAAATATCACAGCAGTATGATTTCAAAAGAATAATTTGTAGACCTGATATGAAGAAACAGTAAGGCCAGTCTGTGATTTTTTTCTGATACAAAATGCTGTTTCCCATGAGTAACTCATTTAAATGGAATGTTTGGAGTTCAGCTCCCATTTATCACAAATTACAGAAAATATAAAAATGTAAAGGTATTTAAAAACATTCTTGTGTCCTTACTGAAAAGATGCATTATGATAACCAGCCATTGAGCTAGGAATTATTTCAGGTAAGAGGTTCAGAACCAAAAATCCAGGGCTTTCTAAAAACTACAGCATGCTGATGTGCTCTCAGAAGCTTTTAATTTTGGGTCATCTCTTGGTTTTCCAGTATTGTGGCATTATTTTAATTGGATTCTGATAATAATCAATTCCCATTGTTCATCAGATGTGAATGACAGATTGAATCTTTTTTCTGCTGATACCAAAGCTGCAATGCAGCTGAGGCTGGGAACAAGACTGTGAGAGCTTCAGTTTAAATGCATCTCCTTGGTGAAGATGGGGGCCAGGGGGTCTATTGCTAAAACTTCTTTCAGCTTTTTCTCAAGCCAGATTCAAGGCTGACTAAGACTTCTTAAACTGCTGTGTAAATATCAAAGCTGGCTTTAAGCAGAAGTGGCACTAAATTCCTGGTGATAGGGCAGTACCCTCTGAGCCCAGGCACACATATTTGCTACCTGTTTTGACTAGCCTAGTGAGGATTCCTGGAACTTTCTAGATAACCAGAGAAGTCCAAAAATTGTATTATTTCTTTATCCAGCAGAAATGTAGCTTATATATATAGCATCCCACTCTTAATGTGCTAGCTTATACCATATGCCATGTATATGTGGCTATGAGACTGACTTTCAGAGGATCATATTCTAAAGGATTACTTTATAGCCTCCAACGTAACACCTTCTCCTTCTTTAAGGGGAAGGAAGAAGTGGGATGTGAGCAAATGCTTTACCAGCTAACATAAAATCTGCTTCTGAGTCTGTGGTCATACATTTTTGTTCACAAAGGAAATGAAATGTTGAGCCTGGGTGCTGGGTGTACCATCATCTCAACTCCTAGTTGGAAGCTTAGCAACAATAGTCAAATGATTCATGATAGTGGGGGAGCTCAAAAAAAATCATGTTATATTCTTTGTGGAAAATCTCAAACTTTTCAGTGAGAAATACTTCTGTATTATAGACTGTTTAAATGTGCTTTCTTCCCTCTAATCAATTCCAGGAGCCTAGAAATAATTTGCAGGTACACACTGGAATCAGCTGTTTCCTAACTGAAGATTTTCCCTAATGTCACCTGAAAAGTGTTTCAAGCTCATGCTGATAGCGTCCACAGTGAACTGGTTCCTTTTTTTATCAGTCCAAAGTGTTTCTCCTTCTGTGTATCTTTTAGGCTGTAAAAACATGGCCACCTAATTGTATTAAATCTTGTTTGTATCAATGGGTCCTTTGTGTCCATCAAGATTTCTCAAGAGGAGAAGAAATTACTTGAAACAACTCATAACAAACTAGTTGTGATGTTCAGCGGAAAACTTGAATTCTCTGAAGTTCAATACCTGCTCTAGAAAGCTTTGTTCCTCTCAAAATCATGAAGTTGACAGTTGAGAGGACAGTTGAGACCTTAATGTTAACTTCATATCTGGAGCTTCAGCATCTCTAAATATTGGCACTGTGAACAAAGTTAGCTGTACAATCTTTTGCAGAGGAAAGTGCAAAACAATTCCCTGTTTAACTGTACCTTTGCCTGCCAGATTAATGTTTTGTGTCTTGACACAGAGATATTCTGGAAGGTGACATGGGTCGTAAATAAACAGTATCTGAACCTGTTTCACACAGTATCACAGAATCATCTAGGTGGGAAAGGACCCTGGAGATCATCTAGTCCAACCATTCGCCTAGCACAGTTCCCACCTACAGCATATACTTAAGCTCTAAATCAACCCTACTCTTGAACACCGCCAGGGATGGGGACTCCACTGCCTCCCTGGGCAGCCCATTCCAATGCCCAACAACCTCATCTGTAAAGAAATGCTTCCTAATATCTAGTCTGAACTTTCCCTGGAGCAACTTGAGGACATTCCCTCTTGTCCTGTCGCTTTCTACTAGGCTAAAGAGGCTCGAACCCAGCTCTCTGCACCCTCCTTTCAGGGAGCTGTAGAGGGCGATGAGGTCTCCCCTCAGCCTCCTCTTCTCCAGACTAAACACCCCCAGTTCCCTCAGCCGCTCCTCGTACGACCTGTGTTCAAGACCCTTAACCAGATTTGTAGCCTGTCTCTGGACATGTTCGAGTAACTCTATGTCCTTGTTGTAGTGAGGGGCCCAAAACTGAACACAGAAATCGAGGTGCAGCCTCACCAGCGCCAAGTACAGGGGCAAGATCCCTTCCCTGTCCCTGCTGGCCACGCTATTGCTGACACAAGCTAGGATGCCATTGGCCTTCTTGGCCACCTGGGCACACTACTGGCTCCTGTTCATCGGGCTGTCAATCAGCACTCCCAGGTCCCTCTCTGACTGGCAGCTCTCCAGCCACTCCTCCTCAAGCCTGTAGCGCTGCTGGGGGTTGTTGTGGCCCAAGGGCAGCCCCTGGAACTTGGTCTTATTGAAACTCCTCCAGTTGGCCTCAGCCCATGGCTCCAGCCTGTCCAGGTCTCTCTGCAAAGCCTCCCTACCCTCGAGCAGATCAACACTCCCACCCAACCTCGTGTCATCTGCAAACTCACTGAAGGTGCACTTGATCCCCTCATCTAGATCAATAAAGATGTTAAACAGGAGTGGCCCCAAAACCGAGCCCTGGGAGACACCACTTGTGACCGGTCACCAACTGGATTTAACTCCATTTACCACAACTCTCTGGGCCCGGTCATCTAGACAGAATTTTACCCAGCAAAGTGTGCAATTGTCCAAACCTCAAGCAGTCATTTTTGCCAGGAGAATGCTGTGGGAAATGGTGTCAAAAGCCTTGCTAAAGTCAAGGTAAATTACATCCACAGCCTTTCCCTCATCCAATAAGTAGCTCACCCTGTCATAGAAGGAGATCAGGTTTGTCAAGCAGGACCTGCCTTTCATAAACCCATGCTGACTGGGCCTGAGCATCTGGTTGTCCCTCATGTGTTGCATGATGGTGTTTAGGATGAGCTGCTCCATCAGCTTCCTGGGCACCCAAGCCAAGCTGACATGCCTGTCATTTCCCACATCATCCTTCCGACCCTTCTTATATCTGGGTGTCACATTGGCCAATTTCCAATCTGTCGGAACCTCCACGGTCAGCCAGGACTGCTCGTAAATGATAGAAAGTGGCCTGGTGAGCACCCCATCCAGCCTCTTCAGCACTCTAGGGGGGATCCCATCTGGTCCCATAGACTTGTGTATGTCTATGTGATGCAGCAGGTCACTGACTATCTCCTGGATTGCAGGGGGGTCATTCTCCCAGTCTCTGTCTTCTGGCTGTGGAGGCTGGATTTCATCAATACAACTAACCTTGCTATTAAAGACTGAGGCAAAGAAGGCATTAAGCACCTCAGCCTTCTCCTCATCACTTGTTACCAATTTTCCTCCTGCATCTAGCAGGGGATGGAGACTCTCCCTGGTCTTTTTTTTGTTACTGACATACTTACAGAAACTTTTCTTGTTATCCTTGATTGCAGAGGCCAAATTAATTTCCAGTTGGGCTTTAGCCCTCCTGATTTCCACCCTGCATAGCCTCACAGCCTCTCTGTAATCACTGTGTGTGGCTAGCCCCTTCTTCCAAAGGCTGTAAACTCTCCTTTTCTCCCTGAGTTGCAGCCAAAGCTCCCTGTTCAGCCAGGGTGGTCTTCTCTGGCTCTGGCTTCTCTTACAGCACCTGGGGACCGCCTGCTCCTGAGCCATTAACACTTCCTTCTTAAAGAGTGCCCTGCCTTCCTGGGCCCCTACACCCTTCAGGACCATCTCCCAAGGGATTCTGTCAAGCAGTTGCCTAAACAAGTCAAAGTCAGCCCTTTGGAAGTCCAGGATATCAGTTCTGCTGCCTCCTCTCCTGGCCTCTCTAAGAATTGAGAACTCTTATTATTTCATGATCTCTGTGCCCTAGTCGGCCTCCAATTGCCACATCATCCACCAGCCCTTCTCTGCTCACAAAGAGGAGATCCAGCAGAGCACCTTCTCTGCTCAGTTCACTCACCAGCTGTGTCAGGAAGTTGTCTCCCACACATTCCAGGAATCTCTGGGACTGGTTCTGCTCTTGTATTTCCAGCAGATGTCTGGGACATTAAAGTCTCCTACAAGAACAAGGGCAAGCAATCATGAAATTTCACCTAAGTGCCTATAAAATATCTCATCCATCTGTCTGTCCTGGTTGGGTGGCCTATAGTAGACTCCTACTACAGCATCTGCCCTGTTTGGCCTTCCCCCTGATTCTAATGCAAAGACACTCAACCTTGTCTTCACTACACCTGGGCTCGAAGCAATCATAACAGTCCTTAAAACACAGGGCCACCCTACCACCTTTCCTTCCCTGTCTGTCCCTCCTAAAGAGCTTGTACCCATCAATTGGCACACTCCAGTCATGGGAGACATCCCACCATGTTTCTGTAATAGCAACAACATCATAATTTTCCTGTTTCATCACGGCTACAAGCTCCTCCTGTTTGTTACCCATGCTGTGTGCATTGGTATACATGCACTTCAGATGGGCTATTTTGCCCCTTTCCCCCTTCCAATCTAGTTTAAAGCTCTGTCAATGAGCCCAGCTAACTCCTGCCCCAAAATCCCCTTCCCTTTCGGGGACAGGTGTATCCCATCTAATGTCAAAAGATCAGGTGCCCTGTATACCAACCCATGATTAAAAATCCAAAGCCCTGATGGTAACACCAGTCTTGGAGCCACCCATTCATCTGCTGAATTCTCCTGTAATCTTCCTCATCCATCCCCCCAAACAAAGGGATGGACGAGAACACAATTTGTGCCCGCAACCCCTCAAGCAGTTTTCCCAAGGACCAGAAGTCTCTCTTCATTGCTTTAGGCCTTCTCCTGGTGATGTCAGCACTATCTACTTGAAAAACCAGGAGAGGGTAGTAATCCTTCGGACTCACTAGGGTAGGGAGTGTTGCTGTGAGGTCCTTGATGCGGGCCCCAGGGGGGCAGCAGACTTCCCTATGAAGCAGGTCTGGTCTGCATATGGGGCCTTTGACACCCGTTAGATTGGAGTCACCCACTACAATGACTCTTCTGGGGTTCTTTTCAGAGCTGGTTTTAATACCCGGTCTGAAGTGACCTGGCCTTGGTGAACCTTGGTCTTCTTCATTTGTCTCATTTTCTTCCTCCTTCTCTTCTTTGTTCAAAAGTTCCAGGGCCCCGAGTCTATTGTGAAGGGGCACCATGGAGGGTGGAGGAGGTGGGGAGAGGATTTTCCTGCCTCCCCAAGCAGGGACCTGTTTCTAGCCTCCCTCGTCTCCTAGGGCCCCTCATTCTGCCTGATAGCAAGAGGGTGAGGAATTACCTGCCTCATTTGGAGCTTCCATTAGCTCCTGTTGCTTCAGGGGTTTGAGGGTGTTACTCCACCAGTCAATTGTCCATTCACATTCCCTAATACTTCTTAATCTCTCAACCTCTTCTTTGAGTTCCGCCACCAGGCTGAGTGGTGGCACGCAATTTGTGCCCCTGACCCCTTAAACAGTTTTCCCAAGGCCCTGAAATCTCTCTTCATTGATTTAGGACTTCTTCTGGTAATATCATCACTACCTACCTGAAAAACCAAGAGAGGGTAGTAGTCCTTGGGTCTCATTTGGGCAGGGAGTTTTGCAATGAGGGCCTTCACCTGGGCTCCAGGGAGGCCACAGACTTCCCTATGAAGAAAGTCTGGTCTGCATATTGGGCCTTCGACACCCCTCAGAATGGAGACTCTACCCTTAAAGGACAAATTTATTATACAATAGTTTGCACAGATGTCAAATTTTTGCTGCTAACAGCTAGTCCAGTTGTTTTTAGTAAATGGGGGTATGAAGAATTGCCTTAAGCACTTCAGATTTTTTTTTTAGACTCTTCTGAACTGGTGTCAGTCAAGTACCAATATACTGGTTTTATATGTTGCAGTTGATGCACTGTGTGTACCTGCAGCTAGAGGGGGATGCACACCACCTGTGAAATTACTTTTTTCTAGGGCAGTCCACATCATTGGAGGGGTTATTCTTTGGCAATGGATTAGACCTGTTGAAGGTCTGTGATTTTGCCCTGTAGTTAACACTAAGTATAATATGCCCAGAGCCTCTCTGCTCTGGACTTGATGCTGTTCAGTGGCTAGATAGGAGTGGTCTTCTGTATGACCAAATTAGGAGGTTTTAAATTATTTTTTTTTAAATAATGATTATCGGTAATCTTTTAGAGTTAAAATAATTTCAGAATAACTTAATAAATCAGAAAATGGTAGCTTTCATTCTTTCTATGGAAATCTGTATGAACTGCAGCAAGGGATGTTGATTTCAGAAAGGCTAATTTAAAAGTGTCCAGGTGGTAGGTGCTTCTGAAAATACCAAATATGGATGCCAGAGGTGACAGGTTTATTTCTTTAGATGAAAAAGTAGAGGCCGTTGTACAAATCCTGTTTCCTCTCCCCTTGCACTCTCCCATGTTACTGCTGTTTCATATTAAGATTGGGGAAATTAACTGGTTCCCTCAGGAAAATCATCTAATTTAAGAATATTTTAGTCTGATATGGATCACAGGTTATGAATGTGGTGCATAGTTTGATAAGACAATGGCAACAAGTTCTGATCATTATCCCGACCAGCCTCACTGGAACTCAGATGGTCTGAATGCCCTGTTAGAAGGGAAAGCCTGGATGTGGTTTTCCCTCACTGTCTTGGCACAAGGCCGAACAGGGGGGATCCTCCATTGCCTGGTGCACCCATGGTAGATGCTGTCTTGCATCGTTCTGCAGTGCCTGTCTGTGCAGCTGCACTGCTTGGCCTCAAGCTGTAGCAGCTACTGCTCTGCTGATTCCGGAATCGGAATCGTGAAAGCTCATCCCAGAACAACCCATTACAGTATTGGTACCTCATGCAGTGTTAGCTGTTCTAAAGAAATAAAGGACATCATTGGATTTCTTCAAGTTGGTTGACAAAACACCAGGCCATTTTAACAGATCCAGAAGATGTAACTCTGAATATGGTATCTACGCTGAACCCAACCCTTTTGATGCCTTTAGCTGAACAGAAACCCTTGCAACTGATGGCTTAACTGCAATTGAATGAGTCCATGCTGGTAGACCAGATTTGAAAGATGAACCACTGGAAAACGCAGATTTGGGATTATACATTGAGGGAAGTAGCTTTATGCACAATGGAAAAAGAAAAGTAGGATATGCCATGGTAACTTTATGGGATGAAATGGAGGCTAAATCCCTGCCCCAGACTATTTCTGCACAGAAAGCAGAGATAATTGTGTGAGACCAGAGCCCCTGAAATAGGAGAGAATTGGAGAGTTAACATGTAGAGGGACTGAGTATGCCTTTGGTGTTGTGCATGCCCATGGGGCTATCAGGCAGCCGGTGCGGGGCTTACCCAACCACTCCTTGGCTGTCCTTCAGGTATTCTCCAGCAGTGCTTCAGCCCTCGCCCCACAGAGAGCCCCCCGAAGAAGGAGGAGGCCTCTCACCTCCACACCGAGTGGCAGGGTGCCTTAAAATCTGCGGAGTATTTTGATGTCTTTGATTTGCGTGTGACGCAAGCGGTTTTATCAATACAGTAACCTGATGTGCCAAAGTTGTCCTTGTTTTGTCTTCCCACGTGGCGGCGTGGGGGGAGGGGGGGGGGGGAAAGCGCCCCGAAGACTAATGCAGAAAATCAATAAGAACGTGGTCCTGGCGCTCCTTTCTCTGACCAGCCTGGTTTTCCTCCTTTTCCAGTTGTACTATTACAAGTTCTACCTATCGCAGAAGGTAAGGGAGAGCTGTCCTGCGCTCAGGATAATGTCTACTCTCGTCAGAGCCCTTTAGCAGCGTCCCTGCCGCTCCCAAACTTCCCTCCTACGGCTAACAATTTCTATAGTGTTGACGTGAAGCGGCTGGGTAGTCCTGGCGAGTTTCTGGTGCAGGGGTACAATCAGATTTCGGTTGTCAGTCTGATATTCAAGTCATTATGTCAGCCAGAGGCATCCTGTTAATTCTAAAATAGGATGCCATTCGGTGTTTTTAGCTGCACGTTTGAGCCTCCAAGACTTAATCTTCACGAGCCTGTCTACTCTTACTGTGACTGTTAGAGAAAGTGAAATCAAACTAAGTGCTATTTTAGGGCTCTTCTAAAGGAACAAGTAAGGCAGCGTTTACTGGTTGCAGGTTTTTCAAGAGTAGTGCTCTTAGAAGAAAACCCAACTTTTTCTGCAGTTGTCTTAGCACTTTGTGATTCAGTGTTCATAATTTATGAGATGTTAATGATAAAATCCTACTTTTATATTACTCGTCCAATGTTTAGCTGAGTGTGATGTTCTGTAATGGAAAAGAGGTAAATGTTACTATGAATGAGATACTCTGGGTTTTTTAATGGCTTCATAGTTTACAGTTTCAATGCAGATTTAACAAAGGAACTAACTTTTTTTTTTTTTTTTTACAGAACAGCTGCATAGGTATTGTTTCCCGAGTTTGTTTTCTTTGGTGAGGTCATTCTTTAATAAAATAAATGCAGATGGTTCATAAATGCCAGGTGGTACTGAAACCTTTGACTATTTAAATTAATTATCTAGGGTTACATCTGGAAAGACTGAGGCACAGCCCTGCTGTCTTTACCCCAGTGGTATCTGCCTAACGGTGTTTGTGTTTTGTCACCTTATTTTAACATTTACTGGCATATTGATTGAGAAACCTGAGGCCAGATTGCGTAATCCTTGCATATCTGTAAAGTCCCAAGGCTTGCATTGTCCTTCTAAATGCACAAAGCTAGAGCAGTTGTTTATGATTTCACATTCAGTACTGTGGTTGAGTGACCAGAGGCATAACCACAGCTGTAATTATGATGTTCTAACTGGATAAATGTCCTTGACTGTCCTGTTAAGAGACCCTAAGCAGGAATTTAACGGAAACTTTTTTTTTTTTCCCCCCTCCCTCCCCATCCCCTTGTTTGGTTTTGACAGAATGGAGTGGTTTTTTCCAAAGTCAGAGGAAGCCAGTCAGGCCAGGACAGCACTAGATGGGTATGTACAGTGTCATTGGTTCATACAGTTCTTCTACAAGTCTCAGAGGACTCACATGGAATGGAGAGTGCAGTTCTCTTTCCTGTTCACTGGGGATTTTCTAGTATTAAAGGACTAGGAGTTACTTTCTTCACTGAGTTATGAAGTGTTTCAAAACATCAGTTTAAAATGGAAATGAGAAATGGTTACAGCTGTGATAGGGATAGCAGGAAAGTAGGTATTTTTCCACAGATTTGCTTCTTGTTCATCAATCTGATCAGCTAGTTTTAGCTACGAAATAATGCTAGCCTATCCCTTACTCAGCTCCATGTAGCTGAGATCACTAAGAGGTGGCATCGCTTCTGCCTATAGTGCTGTTTTGTAATTCTGTTCATTGATCTGCATTTTGTTTTAAAGTTTTTACATCTCTCTGAAATCAAAGCCCTGTGCCAGAATTGGAGTTTGGCCTGCGGAGTGTGATTGAGCAAACTCGGCAGCTAGAAAGGAGGAAGGTTAGAGCTTCAGTTAGAAAGTGAGGATCAGCTTGCTGGACAGGTAGCTTGGGCAGTAGGCCGCTGTTTTCCCTTACCACAGCTCTTCTAGAAACGTTGAGATGTAACAAACATAAAGCCTGAAAGTGCTGTTCTAAGCAAATACTTTTTCCTGATTAGAATGGTACTTTAAGCTAGTAAATTTAACTGTTCTAGTTAAATACATCAGCTACATTTTTAATAGTGGGGTGGCTATGATTCCTGTAAATCTTCTGTATGCCATGGACCTCTAAATGTACTTGATTAAAATTCTCCACTGAGTCAAGTTAATAAATCCTCTCATCAGGCACTGGGCCATCTTGCTACAGCTTTTAACCTCCTATGCAACATTGTCATGGTTGAGTGCCCTGGGTACACTGGTATCCAAAGACTGGATAGGCTCACCGAATCACACTTTGTATATAGCAGGCAGAAAATGTATTAGGAGATAAGATTTCCTTCTGTCAGTGGGTTGTTTTGTTGGTTTTTTTTTTTTGTTCTGTCAGAGAGTTTTCATGTATTAACCTTTGTACACTTAAAGATGGCTTTTCTAACATAATTTTATCCTCTGTCAAACAGCACGTAGTTAGGAAGTTTCTAGGCTTAATATCCAGTCACAATATACCAGTGTATTTGATCGATCCTTTGATTCTGGGACTGGTTAATAAAGACATTGAACAGATCAGAAGTTCTCCTGATGGCCCTAGTCCAGAATGCAAGTACTTTTGTGCTCCAAGAGACTTTACTACATTTGCTCTACTGGACAAAACTTGGAAACATGAAGTAAGTGCCTGTTCTTCAGTTCACATTTGTGTATTGTAATACCTTCAACTCATCTGTGATTTTTTTGTGACATAATGTTTTCATGTTTGTATTAAGGCCTCTGAATTAATTGTGTAGAAATCTCGTAAGGGTATTGGTAGAGGAAACTTTTTAGAAGTAAGAGTCGTTTACAGATAACTAGAATCTTTTAGCAGCTGTCTGCAATATTCATAAACACTTGTAGGAAGAGACCATGCCAAAAAGAAAAAAGAAGGTATTCTGTTAGAAATTAAGAAGGAAAACCTTAAGCCTGTAATGTAGGTACACAGCTGTAATAAGTCTCAAGACTGGGAATTTGTCGAGGAGGAAATGCAGCTATTGGTGTGACAAGGCTGGAAAGATTATCATAGTATGCTGGTTTATATTTCTTTTAGTACATCCTTTTACTTAACAAAATTTTATTTTGTCAGTTTTCTTTGGTGTTCTGAGATTTGTAAGTGGATGTGTTAAAAGTAGAGGTGTAGCAAGTGATGAAGGACAAAATGGAATCCAAGATTATTTAATCAATTGTCATTTGTAAATATTTATTAATTTATACACACTAGAGATACCCGTAACAGACAGCTTTTTTTCTTCTTTTTTTTTCTTTATAAAGCGGGAGACATTAAAATGGACTGAGACTATTTTACTGAAGGAGTCTTACTCAAGTGAAGAGTGGTGGCATGCTGGATCTGACCCAGCAGTTGTTTTTACCTATAGCTGTAAAGGAATTAAAAAAACGGAGAATAAGATTGTGTGGTAGCACACTTAATATAAATCCATCTGCCCATTCACTTGTGGCTCACTGATGATATCTGTAGCATACAGTGGAGAAGCTAATATGCCTGTATAGAACAGTTCAAGGGCACTGAACTGAAAGGGTCTTCAGATGCTGATTGGTTCTCTTCTTATCAGCCAGAACTTCATTCCCTTTTTCTATGGAAATATGAAAGCTTGTTACCTAGTGCAACATTCAGTGTTTGGTGAGATTTAGACAAATATTTATGTACATCATAAAAGAATACTTTACAGTAATCATTTTTGTATTAGTGGTATTGTTGTTCAAGGACTTATGAATGCCAAGTTCAGCACAAGAATAACTTTAGAGAACAGTTTAAGGATGCAGAGAAGGGTGCTATGGCAAGGAACAAACCAAGCCTAAGCATGGCTTAAAACATTTATTTGTTGTCACTGAATCACAGAATCATCAAGGTTGGAAAAAACCTTGAAGATCATCTAATCCAACTGTTCCATACAACACCATATCTCTCAGCGCTATGTCAACCTGACTTTTAAACACCTCCAGGGATGTTTAAACACCACTGCCCTGGGCAGCCCATTCCAATGCCCAACAACCCTTTCTGTAAAAAATGCTTCCTAATATCCAGTGTAAACTTTCCCTGGTATGACTTGAGGCCATAACCTCTTGTCCTATTGCTTATTACTTGGTTAAAGAGGCTCATCCCCAGCTCTTTGCAACCTCCTTTCAGGGAGCTGTAGAGGGCGATGAGGTCTCCCCTCAGCCTCCTCTTCTCCAGACTAAACACCCCCAGTTCCCTCAGCCGCTCCCCATACGACCTGTGCTTCAGACCCTGCACCAGCTCCGTTGCCCTTCTCTGCACACGCTCAAGTCATTCTATGTCCTTGTTGTAGTGAGGGGCCCAAAACTGAACACAGGAATCGAGGTGCGGCCTCAGCAGTGCCGAGTACAGGGGTAAGATCCCTTCCCTGTCCCTGCTGGCCACGCTATTGCTGACACAAGCTAGGATGCCATTGGCCTTCTTGGCCCCCTGGGCACACTGCTGGCTCCTGTTCATCGGGCTGTCAATCAGCACTCCCAGGTCCCTCTCTGACTGGCAGCTCTCCAGCCACTCCTCCCCAAGCCTGTAGCGCTGCTGGGGGTTGTTGTGGCCCAAGGGCAGCCCCCGGCACTTGGCCTTATTGAAGCTCCTCCAGTTGGCCTCAGCCCATCGCTCCCGCCTGTCCAGATCTCTCTCTGCAGAGCCTCCCTACCCTCGAGCAGATCAACACTCCCACCCAACCTGATGTCATCTGCAAATTGACTGAGGGTGCACTTGATCCCCTTGGATCATCAATAAAGATGTTAAACAGGAGTGGCCCCAAAACCTAGCCCTGGGGGACACCACTCATGACTGGCTGCCAAACAGATTTAACTGTTTACCACAACTCTTTGGGCCTGACCATCCAGTTTTTTACCCAGTGAAATGTGTGCTCATCCAAGCCATGATCAGCCATTTTAGCCAGGAGAATACTGTCATATTGCATAGTTTGAGGGACAAAATTTCAGACAAGGAAATAGTGGTTGGAATTGCTTGTGGTTGCTGATCTTTGAGGTCTTAGAAATTTTTGAGTATTTTGTGCTGAAGTCAGGTTAGGAAATGAAAATGGGCAGTAATGATAAGCATTTAGCATTGAATTTTGGCTTCGTTAATCTTCAGCTTTTCTCTCTCTCTCTTTTTGTGTCTCCTTCTCTGTCTTTTTTAGGTGGGCCTTTTTAGAACTGCTGAGAAAATGGGGTTCCAATGGCTAAAGATTATAAATAAGGACCCCCGCTTGGATGGGATGGATGACCTGTCTGGTATTGAAATTCCCTTGCACTACATATTTAAACTGGCATCTCATGCCATTCACCTGGTGGTCTTCTATGAGAGGAGTGGCAATTATCTCTGGCATGGTCCCCTGAGACTCAAGCAATATATGGACAGAAAATTTGTGCCTTTCCGGAAACTCCACTTTGGTCGCTACCCCGGAGCATATGAAAAGTGAGTTCAAAACAGAGGACATAAAAAGCCATAATGGCACTTGCAAATATCTTTTTTTCTCCTGTATATAAAATGATTTCCTAAATTCAGGTTGTAAACTTCAGCTCATGTGTTGTTCAGCCATCAAAGTGCAGGTAAATTAAGGTATGAAGATGTTTTCAAGTGGAATTGGATACAAGAGCTTCCTGCAATTCATAAACGAAGAACTACATTTTAGGGGAAGTTGCTGTGTAGCCATGTTGAAGCACATAGAAAGATAAGTCAAAGAAGTTATGACTGAGGTTGAATACCAGAGGATCTTCTGATAGAGTCAGTGGTTTACCTTTAATATATTTAAAAGTTTGAAATCTGTTGATAGCCATCTGTGCTATTAACACAGGTGTAAATTAGAAGTGGCAAGAAATTTAGTACTACCCAATACATGTTTTTCTGGTAACAACATGTATCCAAAAGTTGAATACAGATATGGAACATTAAATGAAAAGGGGAAGCAACAGAAATCCTTTCAGTAAGAGTACAAATAATCAATGTTAAAGAGCATGAATAAAGAGAGGTGACATTTGTACCACAAAGATGTGTCAACCACTCCATCTCACCCATGCTCTTGAGTGCTGAGACAACTCCTTTCTTGCATAAATATTTGAGTTGGTGGTGGGTTTTTGTCCATAGTCTTATGCTTAAACTTTGCATTGCATTGGTAAAGTTGCTGTAAATGTCCGCCTTTTCCTACAATTCTTTCAATAGCAGTATTTCAGGAAATAATGTATTGTGGCAAATCTCGTTGCTATTTTCAAAGCCAAGCACATACCAGTAGGCTTTGAGAACAGTGTTCCTGTAAGGTATGTGTATATATCATAAATCAGGGAAAACCAGCCAAACGTTTGCCAGGTCAAAATAAATCTGTTTAATTTTTTCCTTAAAATTGACACCATTCTGTCTTCCTCTTAAAACATGGAGTCTGTGCCAGTTATGTACCTAAACACTGGAAGTCAACTGTATAAGCTGTTAAGTATCACATTTCATTCATTGTGAAGGCTGAACAGTTTTGGATTTTTAAATACAAATAGCCTTAAGGTACAGGGTAAAATTTGGTTCTGAAGTGCATTCCATACTTTGACAACTAAATAAATAGTCTGAATTTTCAAATGCACTGAACAACAGCTTTGAATTCAGTGCAAGTTGTGAGTCAGTAAAGGAATCGGTGATCTGGCAAACTAACTGTGGGCTTACAGGCATAGAGCTTCTTTTAAAACAAAATTCTGAAGTGTGTGGGGCATTTGTTGAAGCTCTTGTTACTCTTTTATAATCAATTGTGTGGGTATTTGGACAGGGGAATCACTGCTAGTAGTATGCATTAAGATTTTAACCTGAGCTAGAGGAAAAAGTGGCTTGTGGTTTGTAAAGGAATTAAATGGAGTAATGCAGGGGTTCTCAACCTTTCCTTCACCATGAACCCCCTTTAAATACCTCTTGTGACCATGGCCCACCAAGACTTAATTCAAGATTTAAAGCACTAGACTGCATCAAATATTTATTTCAGTTTTCTCATGAAGGGTCTTCAAATTTGGACAGAAGGGGAAGTAAGTTAATCTATTAATGCACATGCTCATATTATAACATCTCTATTGCAATGATTCCATATGAATTTAAAATAATAGCATCAACAGCATTCTTGCTCAGATGGCCCATTTTTGGTATTTTAATGTGCTAATTCCAAATTTGATTCCAACTTTTACATTAAAATTTGATGAAAAGTATTTACAGTTCTCACCTGCCCCCTTGTTTGTCAGTGTTCAGTCACCATGCATTTTTGTTTATGGGTCCAGGGCCACCACTTGGGGGAACAGACTTCAGCCCCGTTGTGGTCCTAAAAAGCGCCACTAAGAAAATGTCTGTAAGAGAAAAATTGCTTAAAGTGGGTCCCACCAACCATACTGGCACTGAATATACTAGTGTCTCAGGGCAGGTGGGGCAGGGCTTGAGTACGAGAGGAGCATTGAGGAGAAGGGGCTGTGGGAAAAGGAGGTGTAGGCCAGATCAAATGTTTCTGGGCTGGATGGTCCCCACCCCCACTTAAAGCCTTCACTGATCCCCTGTGATGACATCGTGGCCCCTCAGGGGTCCGCGACCCACAGGTTGAGAACCACTGGGGTAACTATCAACTTTCTTTCCCTGCAGGCCAGAACTTGTGCTTGTTTCCATTGATGACTTAAAAGTTCAAATTCCAAAAAATCCATCCAGTTTTCTAGAGGAGATGTCACACTCTAGATTTCTCGAATGTAGGTACAGAGAAGCCCGGGCATTCTTTCAGGTTAGTGGTAATCAGGTAATGTTTCTGAGAAGTAATGTGTGTTTTAACTGATAGACTCAAAACTACAAACAGTTCACTTTTTTTACCTAGATGGGACTGTTTGCATACATAAAGCTAAATACAGCCTGTGAGACTCAATCCACAGAGTTTAGTAAGTGGTGATAAAATGAAAAGTTTAACAGAAATTCATGGTCTTTTTATTTGTGAAACTTTGAAAAGAAATGGTAATCAACATGTTTATAGTTCTCATGCATTGTTCTTACTAAATAGATTTCATAACATCTTTCAAACATAAAGATCTTGTGTATCTTTGTGATTGAAAATTTTTCATATGGCAATTATTAAAATTCTGAGTAATATTTCATTTTATAAATTCTTTTGAACTGTATGTTGCAGTTCCATGCAGTTCCATTCAGTTTATTTCAAGTGGTATATTCATTCCAAAATGACTTATTACATTGGATTTTGACTATATAAGCTAATGTTTTCACGACTATTTAGAGCATTCTTTTTAGAATGTTGCTACCTGATTTAGCAGGCAGTAGAAAACTTTCTGCTGCAGTATGGGGAGCATTTTGTCCTAACTTGAAAAGGACTGAGATTAAAGAGTCAAGAGTTGCTCAAGAATTACCACAGTTAGGACTGTGGAGTCAGAATCACTGAATTTGAGCCATCTCTGATTTCTTGGAAGGGGAAAAAAATAGGATACTAGAAGTTTGAACTATTCTTCAGATGTTTGAGGTCTTGGGGAAGGGACTTCTCAGGGGAGGGAAGGCCATCCTTATTCTGTCTAGTAGGCCATAGCTCCCCATAGATTTAGCAGGAGGGTTACTATACCCAAGGCTACCTGTGTGTTTTTGCTTCACCTGTAAAGGACAGAAATTGTAAGCATGCTCCAGTACAGCTCCAAAACCTCCAGGCAGTAATTGCCACAGGCAGACACTATGTGCTTCAGAAGGTATATTGAACTTTGGAGATTTAATATTGAAATGAATAGCTGGCATCTGTTTTGAAAAGTAAGTATTTGTTTCAACTGTTTGTTGACCAGGAACTCTTAATGAAATCAGTCGTGAAGCTGACTGGTGGTGCATTGTTCCTGTGTTTGATTTGGTAACGTTTGCCCAGACTGACCTATTGTTTTCGGTTTTGCATTAACAGAAGATCTTGACACACATTGTAGCTGGAAGGTGGGCATGATTTTCTGTTCACAGAAATCTTGTTCAACTTCTGTGGCAGAAGTTGCCAACATCCAGTTGTAACACTTGGTGGCGCCAAGTAAACTAATGTGCGTGAAGTAACTTTTTTGGCCTTACTTTCCCAGTGGACTCTGGGTATTGACCAGTGTGCAGAACTAGGGTTCATCTGTGTTGTTGCCAGGTGCTGAGAATTAGTGTCTAACACGGTTATTCTCACTCTCCTTTACTGTGACTTTACATTCTGCTAGTTTGGAAAAAACTGAAGATTGATGTTTCGGAGTTTAAATTTTGATTTGTCATTCTAGTGCATGTTCTCAAACTGGGCTGTATATGCAAAAACTCATACTTCCTGGAGATCAGTTAATTAAATTTATTGAGGTAATTTTTTCTTAGAACACTGAAAAATGCAGGGACAAGTTTGCTCCCTGACAATAGCTTGCTTACTCTTCCTTTGCTTTCCAGCTGTATCCTGATGATGCCTCTCTTGATGCAGTGGAGTTCAGAAAAAAAGCAAAATCATTGCTCCATCTGGCTGCCCTGACATTGAATAACTTAGGAGTAAAGTTCTGGCTGAGCAGTGGAACATGTCTTGGTAAAATATTTGTGTTATGTTGTATTTTTAAAATCATCTGAAATTTTAAACGTTTCATTCTCTATTGCTCATGATGTCAGCTGAGTTTAAATATACCAGGTTGGAAGGTAATATGTGGCGTTGGTTATATTGAAATAGGCCTTTTTGCTTGTGACAAAATGCTTTTTCTTTAGAAACCTGAGCTTGAAGATGCTGAGCAAATTTCCAGTGAAGTATTTAATGATATTAGCAATTACCTGTGTTGTGTTCATCACTCCTTAGAAAGTAATCAGCAGTTCCCTAAATTGCGTGACTTGGAATTTACTGAAACGCTAGTTGGAAAACAGTGATGGGCCCATATTTCTGCTGTCCATATAGACTCTCACCTGATTTTTTGTCCTGTGCAATTTGGTCCTTATCACTGACTTTTAAAATATGATTTACATTTATTTACTTTAAACCACATCCTTTTAATAAAATGTCAGCCTATTAGAGTAGGTACTGCAAGTTTTCAGTTCTGAAGATGGAAGTAGTATCTTGTCACTGGTGAAGATTCTTTTATTATTTAAATAGATGGTGAAAACTCATGTGTGCACGTGACTTCTATTTGTTTAGACCTAGGAAACACAACTTTCTGAATGGACAGTTACTAACAGCTGCTTATGAAGCAGAAAAAAAATGATGTCCTGCTTCTTGTCTTACTGTTTTGCAGTGGTGATTGAAAGATGATTAATGTATTGGATACTATTTAAAATAATTATTTCAAATAAAAAGCACAGCTGTAGCTATGTAACTGTTCATTGCTGATTAGATTTGGGCCCAGATAAGAATATTTTTCTTTAAAGCCATTTAGATTAGAAAACTGAAGATATTGTATCTTTAAAAGAGTTAGTGTTTTCTCTCTCATGCTTGACTTTGGAGAAAAGAGCTGGCTATATGTGCAGTAATTTTTTCTTCAATGTCGTTCATTTCATACTAGAGAAAGGCAGAAGTCTTCTTTATGGCCTTGTTCAAAGATTTCTGCCTGGTGACCTTATAGCAGTTCATTTTTATGTTGCTTTTGTTATACTGAAACATTTCTCATGTTCCTGACTTAACTGGTTTTATTCCTTTTTGTTTTTTTCCTTCAGGCTGGTATAGACAGTGCAGTGTTATTCCTCACAGCAAAGATGTGGATTTGGGAATCTTTATAAGGGACTACAAAGCAGATATCATTCCAGCTTTTCAGAAAGCAGGGTTATGGCTGAAGCACAAATTTGGCAAGGTACCTAGATAATGAACAGTTTGCTTCGTGAGTCTGTGGGTTCATAAATTTGAGTACAGCTGCAGATCATTTACATATAAGTAGGTATGTGAAGTCTCCTTGGCAGACATTTATTCAGTAGGGTTTTACCTAAACATATAATCTTGTTTATTTTTACTTGTTCTCTTGGACAGTGTGTGAGAAAATACCCTTCCAAATAGCTTCAGCCCTGTTGGGAGTCTTGAATTCCACCTCAGAAGTTTTTAATAAGTTTTAAAGGGGCCTAATCTGTGTCAGTGGTGCTATGGAAATTTAAGGATCAAGGCAGAATTTAGTCTGAAACTGGATGAGACACGTCATATGGGAGGACTGGTGATAGCTCTGAGATTATCTGTAGCCCCGTATGTAAAACTAGTAGAACAGGAAGGATGGCTTGAGATGGTCCCTGAGCTTATTCATTATTAGCTTTTTCAGAGTGCACACTACAGAATGGTAGAGAAAAAAAATAAAGATTACAGGAATACGAGGGTTCAGCCACAGTTCAAGTATATATCATGACGGGTGTTAGTGAGTGTTTTATCATAGAAAAAGTATGTTAAACGAAGGTGCCTACTAATCGTGTTTATTCACTGAGATTATTTTGCTTATGACAGAGGACAAGGAGATGCTGAAGCTTTTGTGACTAAAAGAAGGAAAGAGAAGGTAGTCCCACTGAGGTGCAGAAAATCTCCAGTGTTATCAAGAAAAAAAAAAAAAAAAAAAGAAATTGCACAGTTAGTGTATTTTCTTCAGCTAGAATAGGAGTCACTCTGCATACCTGACCAAAATAAATTTGTCTTCCAAAACCTGATGACATAAGTAGCCTTGTATTTTTATGAGTATATACAGTAGGTATTTTTTGCCTTGCAGGTAGAAGACAGCTTGGAACTCTCTTTCCAGGGAGATGATGATGTGAAACTTGATATTTTTTTCTTTTATGAAGAGGGTAACCACATATGGAATGGAGGAACTCAGGCCAAGTCGGGGAAGAAATTTAAGTATGAACTGGATTTGTACCTCTAATAGGAAAGAAATCTAACAAGCTAGTGTTTAGTGTGGTCATTTTTTGTGTTGTTGCCTGGCAAAGTTTGTGCTCTTTGTGGGAAAGGCAGTTATCGGAGGAGAATCGGTGGGTATTTTGCACTTTGAGACCAGAGAAGTAGAAACAGAACAGTAGTATGCCTTACTAGAGAGGTGCTGGGCTTGTTAAATGCAACTTCTCTCATGAAATGAAAAGCAATGCTGACATATAATATATCAAGCAGATCTTATCTGGACTGTGACAAGCTCTGAGTTAAATAAAAAGCTAAGATGAGAAGGAAGTCTTTAAAACTGTGTTTGCACAACAGGCAGAATGGGGGCACTCATCTGAGAGCAAAGGCTGAAGCTCTGGCTGGGGGTCTGCACATCTACCCCAGCCTCCACCCAGATGGAGCTGCTGAAGGGAGAGGCTGCATCGAAGGCCTCAGACTGCAGCAGTGCCTAGACCTCCTGGGACAGGGACAGGCAGCAGGCCTGTCCACAGAAGGTGCACCCAGGTGGAGGGCCTCACAGCAGGTGGTTGAGCTGTAGGAGGCAGAGAGAAGGCTGTAGCATCAGGGAGGGTGAGGAGGAGTTAGATAGCTGGTTCCAAGTGCAGTCTGTGTTGGACCCACAGCCAAACAGCCAAAAACTCCCCCACAGGCACACAGGAGGGAGGGGGCCAGTAATGCAGAATGGAAGCTGCGATGACAAGGACCTGCAGGAGGAAGAGACTTCTCCCAAAGCGTAAGGTGCCCCTGCAGAACCACTTCACTGCTCTGCAGTCTGAAGAGGAAAGACCTGTCACATCAGGAGAGGCACTGGAGCTGAGTAAAGCAGCCTGGTCTGCTCCCTGTATAACCACCAGCACAGCTAAGAAAAGGCAACGGGGTGGTAGTAGTAGGTGACTCTTTTGAGAGGTATGGAGGCACCCATCTGCCAACCTGACACACTCTCAGAGAAGTGTGTTGCTTACTGAGGGCTCTACCAGGGATGTCACCAGGAGACTACTGAACCTCGTACAGTCCACTGACTATTATCTACTGCTATTATTTCATGTGGGTGCCAATGATAGAGCCAGGAGCACCCTGAGGACTATCAAGCAGGGTTACAGAGCCCTGGGAGCAACAGTAAGGGACTCTGGAGTGCAGAGAGTTTTTTCATCAGTCTTCCCGGTCAAAGGGAAGCAGTTTGAAAGGGCCAGTAGCATTTGGCAAATCAACAATTTATTACAGGACTGGTGCCACAGCCAGGGGTTTGGCTACTTAGACCATGGACTCCCTTTGAGAAACCTGGTCTAGTGAGGGCTGGTGAGATCCTTCTATCAGAGAAGGTGATAGGTCGTAGGCCTGCCAAGCTGGGGAAGAGGGCTTTAAACTGAAGTTACTGGGGGAGAAGAACCTCAATCCATCCCCCTCCTACAAGCTTGATGCTCAGAGCCAGGAGGGGGATTACAGGTCAACAGGAGAGCACCTGAAGAGCAGTACAAAGGAACTGCAGCCAGGGCCCAAATTAAATGCAAATGCCTGTAGCATGGGGAATAAACAAGACAAGTTAGAAACGTGCACATGCCTGCAGGTCTTCGATCTTATTGGCATCGTGGAGATGTGGTGGGATGACTCCTATGACTGGAGTCTTGGAATCGTGGTAATGTCTGAGTCCTTGTCTTAGTTATCTTTGTTCTGAAATGATAAGCAAAGATTGGGGAAGATACTTTGATGACCAGAGTCAAAAGGCACACAACAAATAGGCTAAAGGAAGAGCTCTTGGAATATTCCCACAGAAAATGTGCTGTGTTGCAGAGTATTTTTCTTACAGCACAGCAACAATGTCATAGTTTCCCAAAGCGGGCTTAATGTCTGTTTTTTCCATTTTGGAGGATTGCGTGTGATACATTATGAGGAGGAAGCTGACCAGTAAATTAGTTTCCTTTGCTTTTCTTTGTGCTTCTTTTGTATCTAAATTGCAATAACTGTTCCCATGCCAGTGGAGTTGATGTGGTCTTTCAGAATTCCATTGTAGCATCAGACCTTGGGTACTTGAGAGCTGGGTTTTTTCTACCTTTGATATGACTGGTCCAGTGCATGAGAACAGAAGGTAGATGTGAACCTGTGCTATGGTCCAGCCACTGTATCCTAGAATATTACAGCTCTTTTGGAACTCCAGCTTCCATAAAACATTTTTACTTTTCTTGTAGCCTAGTACTTAGTTTGATGGTAATTTTTTTCAAAGTTTACAAACATGGCTTTCTAGTTCAATAAGAACTTAATTTGCTTAGACATGGTAGTGTAAGGAGACCTCTCATTCTGAACTAGTGTTTCTTAGTCAGTTTATTGTACTTAATCCATACAGAAAAGGAGCAAGAAAACTGCTTGTTTACCATTATAAAGGCCCTGAGCCCTTGATAGAACATGGCTGTTCAGAATGCTTAGCTGAGTAATTCCAGATAAACATTATTCAAAATATGTTTTCAGAAAGAGAAAAAAGATCACATCTTTTCAGCAGTGAGATGTGATGTTTTAGCATGCTTGATCTGATTGCCTGCAACACCAGAATGACCCTCAATTTTGCTTAGTCTTCAGCCCTTACAAATTTTGGGGGAAGGGAAAGTGAGGAGGTCAGTCAAAAGATGGTTAGATCATGCTGAATCCTAAATCCACTTCACACTTTTAAAGGAATCTCACCAGCTGTTTATGTAGTATAAGAAGAGATATTGTTTGCTAATAGATTGTCACAAATAAGGTGGAGAGTTCTATTCCAAGATACTCTGTTTTTGAAAATGAAGGTTAAAAGACATTTTCTTCAGAAAGCTAAATATTTGCACAGGCATACTTTCTATACATCTTGGTAAATAAAAGTATGAAGAATGGAAGTATTTCTCATATCGTCTCTAAAATATTTTTGATTAGTCATTTTTAGTCTCTTGTTTACTTGGAGAGCTGGTTTCTAAACCTTACAAGTCTGGTTGTATGTTTTACATTTTCATGTACACAAACACTTCCTCAACATTGCGGACATAAGCAAGCATGTACATCCTCCTTATCTTGGAGTTAAAGCAATTGAGTCCTATTTGTTTACAAAGTTCATTCTGGACTGTTCCATTCTTCAGCTAATAAGGATTTACAAAAGCTGAATCTGGGAATCAAATCTGTACTGTTATGCTTTAATTCTTAAAATGAGTTAATTCTGTAGGTCTTATAGAGGACTTTGTGTAAACGTAAAATCTTCTCAGTACTTTTATGTCTGAAGATTGATGGGACTGAAATTGAAAGAAAAAAATGATGAGCAGTCTATATGCACATGAGTATGTAGGCTTATCCCAGCCACTTGAAATGAGCAAACAATGAGGAAGGATTCCAGTAGTGTGAAGCATCACTGAAAGCTACATTTTTTCATCAATGAATGTCAACATTTGATTTTAATAACAGTTAAATAATTATTTTGGTAAAATTTCCAATCAGCGTTTCAATTTGCAGATTATTCTATTTAAATTACAATTTAAATTTATTTAAATTGTTCTCCTTATAATTATTATTCAGAGTTCACACTGGAATATATATTATTTCAGTGGTTTGCTGTTAGATTTTGCATATGCAAGCCCACTGCAATTCTGAGGTGAATGATTTCCTGGGTTAACAGCTAAATAGCTGTTTGATGATTATAGATCCACTAATAAAGCTTGTTTACCTTGTTTTCCCTTTGGTAGCTGGCATCTTTTTGCTTTTTCATTTAGAGTTAATGAGTAGTCTCTGGATATACATCCAAAAGTCCTTGATCACTTTCTTCTCTCCCTTCATTTAAGGCATAAAAAAGCAAGGTTGTTTTATTTTCTAATAGTTTGCTCAGCACTTAGAAATGAAATTAACTTTATGCTTAGAGGAACCCTTGGGGTTTTTAATTCATGCAAATGGATGAATCTTTTAACATTCTTTCTCAAAAGATCTAAGTGCTTATCATTTCATTTTAATGTATGAAAAGGAATTTTAAGATTACTGTCTTCTGTGGAAGACTTTGCAGTGTCTGAAGTGGGTGTGGCCCTCTGCAGGAATAGTGCATAGGCTTTGGTATTTCCTTGTTTAACACATCGACTTGACACTGTGTTCCTATGGGATGTCATTCTGATCAAACTGAAATTCATCTGTGAACTTCCACTGGTATAAACATATTTATAGGTGCAGCTTATGTTGGTCCTTCTACAGAAAACAACAGGTGCAGAACAAGGTCAGTTTGGTAGAATAAATTAATTTTTAAATTTGAATGGGCCAAGAAGATTCAGAAAGTACAGGGTGGCAGCTGTATCTTAATTCTTCACAGCTGCTCCAAGTCTGGCACCATGTTTAAAATGGATAACTGAGGGAGAATTGCATGCTTTGTTTGATAAGATTGAAGAAAGGTAAACACTTGTTTTTAAAAAAGGCCTGACTCATAATAAAGTATTTAATGCTACTTTGATCAAAATCTCCCCTACCAAATAACATGTATCATCCTCTTGACACCATTCTAAATGAGGTAGCTGTTAAATTCAGTTTGTAAGTAAGAAAGTAGAGACAGGGACTAAGTGATTTTCTATAGGTAGCAGAGTGATACAGGAATAAGCAGCAAAATTATTAGAATTAGGCCTTCATAAGAATGTGTGATAAATATTGACCAGTTACTGCTAGTAATACCCCTCCTGTCAAGTATGTAAATAATATTTCATAGATAGGAAGTTATTAGAAAATAAAAAAAATCACTGTAAATATAACATGGCCACTTGCTACAGTTGCTTGCTTTCTCCAAGAATTTATTATTTAGAGGTGTATTTCAGTCTTCTGCCAGTGACTGTGTTCTTTTGTTATGTGACACAGGTATCTCTTTCCAAAGTTTACTCTCTGTTGGACTGAGTTTGTAGAACTCAAAGTACACGTGCCCTGTGAATCACTTCAGTATGTTGAAGCCAACTATGGTCCAGGCTGGAAGGTTCCTGTGAAGATCTGGGACTGGAAGAGCTCACCATCCAATGTGCAATACAATGGTGTCTGGCCTGTTGATGAATGGGATGATGTTATTCAAATCTACTGACCACCTGACTACTAATAGAGTGTGCCTGCTGTCCTTGAAAGTCAGTTTGTGATTTCCTATTTTCCAAAGGCATCAAGATCTGTTCCTTTTGTTAACTTCTGTTTAGTAAGGAGATGTTTATCTTTTTTTGCTTAACAGGTATTTTGTCATGCATTTTCCAGGGAGTTAAAGGAAAAGATTAAAGGCAGCTGAAGAGAAAGGAAGCTGAAAGAAAAGCTGCACAAAGGGAAGAGAGAAGAAATATTGCAGTAAACTTATGGGTGGTTGACTATTTAAATGTAAACAGGGACCAGGTAGCTTAGGCTTTCCTGGGATCATCAAAACTTTGGGACTGTTTACTTCTCAGGCTTAACAGAGGTATAGGATGGAAGAATCCCAGAGAAGTTCCTCTTTTTTTCAGGAGATCCTGTGAATAACTTTTAAACACCAGAGTTATGAGTACCTCAAACGTGCTTGATTTGAGACTGCTATATCCCTACAAGATGCAACAGGTTGCTCCTGGGAGTGGAATGTTTCTATTACACAGAACGCATGCAACCCACATGTAGTTTCTATTACACAGCACATGCTTTACATGTAGGAGGTATTGGATAACGGTGTAATGTGGAATGAATGGAAGGAGAAACTATACATCCTACATCTTCCAATAACAGTTGGGGGTTTTTGTGAACCAACCACTACAGGCAGTTACGACAGGGAATGTTACCTTTTTTTTTGTCTTTCTTTCTTTTCCTTTTAAAGAACATGAAGGTGTATGCCACAGGGATGTCTTTCCCATGAAAAAATAAATATTATGGTTTTGATGTCTCAATGTGTTCTCCACACACACACAAAAAGTTTTGACTAGATCTTAGAAAAATAGAACTATCCCTGCTTTCTTATAAGTAAATAGAAAAGGGGGTATTGATAGTTTCTTTTTAACGTGGGCTCACAGAACAGAGATCTCAGAATCATATATCTTTTCTCTAAGCGTAAGCAGAAGTGTGTACAAATACCAACGTTCAGATTTGCAGTATGATGATTGTAAGTGAAGTGGTAGTGTAACATTAGGCTTTGGCTGGGGAGACAGTGGAAGACTCGCAACTCTCTCCTGCTTTTGCTGGTGCTTTTGATCAGTGAAATAAGCTTTCTTCAGTATTTTGGAGAGGGATAATAGCTTTCGTATAAGCATGTGTGTCCAAATTTGATCTAGTGTTGCTGTGCAAGGAAGGCAAGGGCACTAGAGCTGCTAGTGAGTTATGACTGTAATACATGCTACAGACAGGAGTACTTGTGAACCAGTGTTGTTACTGAATGAAGCTCATGTTTTACTTGCAACAAACCTGTATCCATTCTTTCTTTGCTAATGCAGAAAGGCTATCTACAGGTCGCAGCTTTTCCACCTTTCACTGGGTAGAGGTAAATTAACTCTGTGGTTTGCATTCTGTTGATCGGTGGTTTTCAGCTGTGTATTCAAGTGTGTACAGTTCTGGAGAGATGAAGTAGCTACTGCTTTGTGGTGGTTTTACTACTGCATCATTTCAGGTGCACTCTGGGGCTTCCCTGCTGTTTTCATCCTGGGGGGCGCTGTATGCTTTTTCCTGCCAATCCTCTTAGTTTCAGTGGTCTCTTGCCACTGAAGCACTGAAGTAAATTACTCAGCTTCTGGCAACAACTTGTCACACTGGCTCTTCAGTTGGTATGGTACCTTTGTTAGCTTTGTCTAATTAAGGAGAGATGTAAAATCCTGCTACTGCCATTACGTCATAAACACTACATCATAAGGGAGAGTTTCTCAGGTAGAATTATTTATATTTTTTCCTTCTATAAGCCTGTTTTTCAAATGTGATAGGTGTTTAAGAGTGAAAGAAAAGATACTCTCAGAAAATTACCTGTCAAATTTTTTACTTTGTAGATGCAAAGACTAATGAAAGGGAGGATGTCTTTAGTTGATTATACCTTTAAGTTATTCTTCAGGTGAAAATATTTTCTCTTCAGAAGATACAAGTGTATATTTAACACTGATTAAAAGAATAAGAGTAATTTGCAACTCAGGATGTTGTTTCATCCTTTGTTTTGTCCTCTTGGGCAGTATTTAACACACTTCATTGTAGTTACCATAACACACAGAAAAATTTTGAACTGTTTCTTACACTGCTTATTGACTGTCTAGCTTGAGCTTTTATTTTTAGTAAAGATACTTGGACACAACAAAGATACTTGGAATAAAGCGGTGCCCATGTGTAGAAAAAAGGATCCTTCAACTGAACAAACACATCACAATTTGACATGTCTCCTGTCATGCTTTGTGCAGTGCCCTGACTGCAGATTTCCTGCTTGTAGGATTGTGTCCCAAGGAGCAGTGTAAACATTGTAGAACTGGTGCTCTTCAAAGGTACACTGTGAGACTGAAGCCTTACTGTTCCCCCTAGAAACACACAGGTGTAGGCATTTATTTCCTGTTAGGTTCTCCTGAATTGCTTCATCTGAAATGGATTCTTAATTCTGTGTTACCTCCCTAACTTACTACTTTCACTTTGAAAGTGCTCTGGAGAGGAAAACAATTTCTACAGTCTCTTAATGACACACATTTAAGGTCTTAAGCAACAATATGCAAAGTAACTTGACTCTCATGTAGCAAACAAAGCATGTTACATGTGTGTAACCGTTAAAGATAGCAGAGCCTACTCAAGGAATGCCCATGAGCTGAGAAGAAGGTAGCAAGATGTTCAGAGCTCCATTTTCAAAAGCTGTAAAAGATGGTTACAAAAAGGAATGTATGTGCTACCTTTCAATGATTGTTAGGAAATAGAAGTGAATGGGAGGAATGTCTTGAGTGGAATACTGGAGTATTTTACATGTGGAAATGTGTGAAGCCTTTGACTTTGAGGGTCTCTGAGAACACATTGGACAAATGTCAGCCAAGACTGTAGTTAAGCGTTGACTGTAGTTAATCCTCTCATCCAGTTGGAAGCTGTTCCTATTTTCCAGTATTCTGTAGCAGTTTTCAATAACTTTCTGCTTCTACAAAATACAAAAATCATTTGTATATGAGCTTAAGAAAGGTTTTATTTCTAGAATCAGACACTAGAGCTCATACTAGGAGTGATGGTGAATCGCTTCCACTGTGGAAATGATAAGAAACCACAGCATCTTGAGTGCTTGAAAAATGTGATTGTTCACAAGAGTGCTGTCACGTCCCGCTCCAGCGAGGGGGACAAGTGACTCAGATTCGCAAATCCCCAATTGGAGCGGACAACAAGTCTCCAAGTTCAAGCATTTATTAACTACCTACAATGCACTAATTGAACACATGATATACTGGCTAAGTACAGAGCAAGCTGTGGCAAGCAATATAATATGCTTTACATTTCTTAACAGAAAAAAGGAAAAGAGGGAGATAGAGGGAATGGGGGAGTACAGATCACCGGTCTGGGTTCCTGCGCTGCTCCTGCCGGCGAGGATTCCAGGAGGCAGCTATCTTCTTCGCTGGCATCCGTCGTCTTTGCTTCACTGCTCTCTCCGGACAGCAGGGGGGGGGACAGGAAGAGGGGCAGAGAGAGAGAGAGAGAACCCTTTCTTCTCCCCTTTGATTTATGCCCACTTTCCTTGGGTCCGTCCCCTAGGTCAACCCACAGACCTACGTATCCCATGTACAGGGAGGGGTAAGGTGTTTCATGGGATGATGTCACTAGCATGATCATGACAGCCCTCGTTAGCATATTGAGGGGTGTCAACTTTAATAGACATTTCGTGGATAATGAAGCAAAGTTCATTCACCGGACACATGGCCCTTGAAAACTGCCCAGGTGCCCCAGGGCAGAACCGTCCTGTCTCCACAGGGCTCTCTCCCTCAGATACATCGGGCAGCCTTATCAGCTTCGGCCTCCACAGAAAGCACCCTGTGAATCATGGTTTTGTCTTGGGAGTGTTTGAGGCAAATCTTCAGTCAGCCTCAACTTTTGCTTTCCCAGGCTGTTTGTCTTAGTTTTTCACAGGCCTGGTTGCTCGGCTCTCACAAGTGCAATGCAGCTCTTCCGAAGGATCTGTCTGAGCCAGACTCAGACTGTAGAACAATCTTGTAAGTCCTGGGTAGAACGGGCGATGCTTGACTGCACAGAGCAGTGAGCATCTGAGGGAGACGCCAGTGCTTCTGATCTGTATGGAAGGAATCTTCTGATAGAAGGAGGGCCTGTCTGTGTTCCACCCCACTCTTCTTTTAGTCAGAAATAGCAGTGTAATGATATAGATAGGAGAGAGCCATAAAAATATGGTTGACACTTTCTCTGCTATCCAGATGAAGAAGTAGCTGTTTTTGTTATGCCCTTTCCCTTGAAACAGAGTCTGGGAGCTGCTGGTTTCTGGTGTTAAACAGTTTGCATCCTTTGCTCCTTTAGAATTCTCTCCCCTCGTCATAAGCCTTAAAGTCTGTAAACTCAAGAGAAAAACAATCTCTGCTTTCAGCTGTCAGTTGGAATTGTTTGTTTTGCACAGATGAATGTTAAAAAAGTAACATCTGTGTAGCAATACAGATACTTCCTTCCAAGGACTCATGGTGCAGTAACTTTCAGGAACTCTGTCCATTATTATTTATTGGAGACGTTCTCTGAGTTCACACAGTAGTTCATGAAATTCAGGGACAGCTACCTCTCTGTTTAGACTTCTCTTTTTCTTCATGCATTCTCTTTATGTATTGCAGAACAAAACGTGAGAAGTTGGGAAACTGCATGCAAGCACATAAAAGACTTATCTAGCACTTGTATTTCATGATCTGCATTCTCTGTTTTTATAAATAGGCATCATCAGCTGATTTACATCATCTGATAATCTTGCTTAACAGCAGTAGATTGCTTCATGGTGAGTTCTCTACTGAGGCTAGTTTTATAGATGTCCTACTGACTGAGACTGCGGCAAAGCACATGAGTTTGTGAGCTGAATAAGTCTTTACCAAATTCAAGTCACTGCTGTAATTAAAGGGCATGTGTGAGAGCTTTACCCTTGAAAAAAGGAAGGGACAATGAAAGTTGTTCTTAAAGAAGGGAAACTAACACAGTTTTGGTTGTGCCTCTTTTTCTGAAATAAATCTTTACTGCAGCTTAAAAAGAGAAGTCACATATTTTGTCCAGAATTTACCAGGTGAAATGTCATGCCAGGTGCTTTGCAGATCATACTGCATTCTCATAACATTCCTCTTCCAGCCCTAAAACTTCTGAATACTTCTTGTATCATCAGTTAGCTCTAATGTTAGTGGGTACAATGTACCTGTATTTCAGACTGCATAGAACATTGGTATCACTCAGGGCAGTAATGTCTGACACAGTACTACACTGTGCAAAGATACTCAGGTTAGTTCTGAAACAAAGCAATTTAGAGCTGTGGCTGATAACAAGATGAATCCATAGTAACATAGGGTGATGTGACCAAAGAAAATCGAGTGGGATGTAGAAGAGGTGCTAGCATCTGCAGGAACAGTGAATGAAATTTCACTTGCTATGTTCAGCCCTTCAGCTAGTGTATAGAGATCAGTGCAGGCCCTCACCTGCTAAGGTGGTGGACCAGTTGGTGACTGTTGAGAAGAAGGTAGTAGGCTATAGGAAACCACCTACAAGGAAATATTGAAAGAACTGCAGTTGTTTAGGCTGAGAAGGATGTGGAAGGTACTCCATCCTGTTTACTTTGTTGATAATGCAAGAATGAGGAAGCTTAAATTTTACCAAGGAAGATCGGACTGGACTGTAGGAAAAGTTTTTGGAATTTAAGGAGAGGGTAGTAGTTTGGGGAAGGGTGTAATATCTCTACCCCTGGCCGCCTTCAGGAATGTGATTGGTTGATAAGTGTCTGGAAGGAACAATGTGATTGCATGTCTTCTTGCCATTACCTGTAAGAGGGCCAGCTGGGTTTAGGATATTCTTATTTTTTGTTTTCTTTTGATTTCTTTCTTACTTTTTGGTGGTCTTTTGTGGCATCTAAACAATATTTGACCTGCACAATTCAGCTTCCTGAAAGACTCGGTGGAACTTCTTTATCTCATGAGATATGGGTAGTCTTAGCAGGCTAGGGGTGCTATTCTCAGAAGTTTAGTTTGCTGTCCTGAGTGATTAATAGTGCTTATTTTAAGAATTCCAGGTTTACCAGGTAGTACTGAGGTAAAAAGTTATATATAGGTATGGATGTCTTAACTTGAGACAAAATCCCAGAGTCACAGAGTGGTGTAGGTTGGATGGGATCTATGAACATCATCTAGTCCACCCCCGACATGTAGCTGGTTGTGCCAGACTGTGTCCAGATGCCTTCTGAATATTTCCTAGGATGGAGACTCCATAGCTTCTCTGGGATACCTGTCCCAATGCTCTGTCACCCTCACAATGAAAAAGTGTTTCCTGATGTTCAGGAGGAATTTCCTGTGTTTCAGCTTTTGCCCACTGCCTCTTGTCCTTTCAGTGGGCACCACGGGAAAGAGCCTGGCTCCTTCCTCTTTGCACTCTCCCTTCAAGTATGTATATATATATTGATGAGATCCCCCCTGAGCCTTTGATCAGAAGAGGAAAGTTAAAGAAAATGTACCCACCCAATAAAACATATAATCATAGCACCACAGAATGGTTTGTGTTGGAATGGACCTTAAAAATCGCCCTGCTATGGGCAGGGACACCTTCCACTAGCCCAGGTTGCTCAAAGGCCCATCCAACCTGGCCTTGAACACTGCCAGGGAGGGGACAGCCACAGCTTCTCTGGGCAACCTGTGCCAGTGTCTCACCACCCCCACCGTAAAGAATTTCTTCCTTAAATCTACATTCTTTCAGTGTAAAACTGTTACCCCTAAGCTTATAACTACACTTTTGGATAAAGACTTCCTCTCCATCTTTCCTGTAGTCCCCCTTAAGTACTGTAACCGCTATAAGGTCTCCCTGGAGCCTTCTCTTTTCCAGGCTGAAAAGCCCCAGCCCTCTCAGCCTGTCCTCATAAGAGAGGTGCTCCAGCACCCTCATCATCTTCATGGCCCTCCTCTGGACTGTCTCGAGCAGGTGCACATCCTTCTTATGTTGGGGACACCAGA